GGATGGATGGATGGATGGATGGATGGATGGATGGATGGATGGATGGATGGATGGATGGATGGATGGATGGATGGATGGATGGATGGACCAAATGTAAAGGTGTAAACAAAGTTTTCATTATACAGAAGAGAACAATGCGGTTTATCTTTTGCCATTTTTATAGGATACACATATCCCTATCATTAACAGGATGTGTGTATTTTTATTTGCGCTTTGCCAGAACTCCAGGAAACAAACCAGGCAGCAGCCCCAGAGGGCAGACCCCAGATGAAACCGGACGTCGCCAGGGGCAGAACCACGAAGCAAACTCTTCTGTCAATGACTTGGCCAACTCTGTCACCAGTGACATGCTCATGGTAACTCACTCTATCAGCTCTGTCTATACAGTATTCATCACTTTGCTAATTCATTCATACCCTAAACCCTTTTCAAATTTTTTATGTTAGACATACAATTACAATGTAATATCCCTCAACCCAGAATAATCCGATGTCTTTTATTAGCTGCTGTAGAATGAACCAACTACATTAAAATGGTCAAACATTAGTGAATGGGGGAATGTTTTTAAATGCATCAAGCGATTACAAAATTCTACTGTTCACCTATTGTACAAGGCAATAAATCAAATTTGCCCACCATTATCGAACCCACAAGGACAACATTGAAAATATACGCTGAACAGGGTCCCACTGGGTATTCCTTCTAGCTCATTTTACAACAGTTATGCTATGTTGGCAACAATCTTACAATCTCTAAATTCATAGATCTGATTCCAGAAGCAACATTATTCTAAGTCAGAGCAATATCTGATTTTCTATTACAAATCAGAGACAAGACTGTAAATGTAAACAGAAAGAGATTGTCAGAAGTAGAGATAGAGATGATTTATTGCTGTGGAAAACCTTGGTAGGGATAAAATGCTGTTGAAATGCTGATTTTAAAAGATATGTAATCTATTTTCTGTAATATAGGATAGTTTTCTTAAGTTGCTTTTAAATAGGTTATTATACAAAATTAATATTTATGTTTTTCTTTTTCTTATGATGAGCTTAGCTTTCTTGTGATCATTGAGTTGGTCATGTTCGAACGTTTTTCGGACATTCAACTTTTGCTTTGGTCATTTTCTGTACTTTAGAAGGCATATGATTGTGGGTTCTGTAAGGGGTTTGAATAATCTGTAAAGCGGCCAAAGCCGAGGAAAAGGCAGAAATGTTGGGTGTCAAATACTGCAGAAGAACCTCCTCAAAATAAAACAAGAAAGTCCAGCAAAAATGACTCAAAAGCTGAAAAATATTTCTTCTTTGAGCTGATTATCGGTTGTATGTCAAATGTTAGTGGAGTGGAATAAAGCTTAAGGTCTGACTACTTATTTTGTTAGCTTTTGTTAATCTAAGTTAAGAAAGAGAATGAAAATATTTTTATTGTAACTGACTGTACACATTGTATAGAAGTACTATCCGGAGAACATCAATACTATCTTAGGCACCACTTTAGAACCATTCTTTGCTCTTTTATGTATTGGTAGAAAAAAATATGTAGATCACTAATGTTTTCTTTGTTTTATATAATTATAGCTGCACCAAACACATGTGCAACAAAAGTTATATTTCTGTATATAATATGGTCTGTTTGTTGAGTTGGGGGCCCACTAATTTTAAGAAAGTTGTACAGGAATTGTCTCCCCCACCTGTGGAGCATTTCCACTTTCTCCTACCCTGGAGTTTTCTAGGCTAACTCGGATGTGCAATAATCATCCTGCTGAAGCGAGAGCTAAGAGGGGGAGGCAAGCATGTGCCTTCTTCAGAGAGGTTTGGTAATTAGCTGTGAAGGAACATGCAGGGACGTGGGTGCTCTGAGAATATGGCAGAGATGGGTGCGGATACTTTGTAATTACAGGGGTTTCATCAGGATTCTGCAAAATTCTCACTGACAGTACTTAATGATTATGCTGGGGTTGGGAGCTTTGCCAAAGGAATCTATAGATGTCTTCTTTAGAGCCAGATCTTGTCTCTTCTTGCACTTTTTAGCCATTTGTTATAGCTATGCACTGAAAAAAGTCAAAAATTGCTGTTCATTCAGTGTTTTGTTTTTGTTTTTTTGCATTTGATTTCAGTAAAGAATTAAATTGTCAATTGTTCAATTTAAAAAATACAAATAGGGAATCGATCCCACAGGAAAAAAAAATAACTTCTTCAATTTACATTTTCTCATTGAGCCAATTGCAATATTTACATGTAAATTATTACTCTGCAAAGTGTAGGTTAAGTGATTGTTAAATCGTTTCAGTGTAGGTGGCTATACTCTATATGCACAAGCTTTATTCCACAGGGAAAAGTGAGTTTAAAAAGTCATAGGGCATCAATGTGTATATAGAGCTAAAACTCTAAAGCTTTTCAGGTGATGTGTGTCTGGATAGCTGGGGGCCCCAGGGTAGCTGTGGCTACAGTGTAGCTTTCCACCATCAGTGTGTGAAAGTGCGGGTGAACAGGTGATTGAATAAATTGCTGACTGTAGTCTGAAGCCCTTTGGCTTCTCCTGGCTTGAAAAGGTGCTATGTAACTGTAGGGCAATGACCATTTATCAGGATCACCTCTGACAAATGTTTCATTTTTTGTGTGATTATCCCAGAATCAAGTGTAGCATAATAATGTTTTTATCCCACAGTTTCACTTCTCAAAACATTATACATGCTTTTTAAGCCTAAGTTTGTAATCAAAATTTTTGAAAAGATAAACAGCAAAAAGATAATCACCAAGAGCATTACATTGTGCGGAACGCTTACCAATGATCGTTTGTTGTCATAACCTTTCAAAGAAATTTGTTCTGTTTATATTTTTTCTTTGTTGTGGAAAAACAGATTCAAGTTGTCTGTTTATTTAACTAATTTAAATGAAATATTTCATTTCAAGTACTTTATTGTCAAATGTTTTCAGATTTAAGCTACATATATATTGTATTTTTCTCAGCTGGCATTAGAGCAAAAAGAAAGTAAAACAAAGAGAACAAACAAATCGACAGTAAACAAATCTCCTTTATGTGTGTATTACAGTTTAGCAATCTTATTGTTTGTGAAATGAAGCTATCATAGTATTTACAGTGAAACTGTGTATTTTGTTGGCTTTTATTAGTATAGAGGAGGCAAAGAGAATAAAGATCAAAGGGCTAGATCAGAGAAGGAGGGGGTCACTCCAGTGGCTGGAGGTTTTTGGGGATTCTTCTTTGAGTTGTAGGAAAGTGGGCTGCCATTCGGCTGGCGTTTTACTAGGACCGATTTTTAATGGCTGCTACTGCATATCAATGAATACTACTAGATACACAATTTGTAGAAGTGTTAATGTTAAGAGTATCAAGTATGTAATGCTTTACCTATGATACCTGAAAATACATGAAAAATATAAACAAACTTATAAGTTTAGTTTCTTTAATTCTAATAAACAAAGCAACAATTATTATTTCTGCAGAACTAATATATATTGTGATTGGTAGAGAGATTAAAATTTAATATTTAACAACAATTTGTTTTCATTTTCTTATAAAGTCTTAAGATAAGCAAGCTGATATAAGCTAGTTAAAATGTAGCTGCTTAATAGACACAATGCTTGCCAACTGTTGTCGCCCTGACCAGAGCGAGTCAAAGAAATTCTTTTTTTTTTTTTTTAAGAAAAAAATTGCTCTAAACATCTTACTGCCAGCTGATCTGCATTGTGATGAAAATCTTCAACAAAATTATAAAGGTTTTACCTTTGCTCCATACCACAGGAAAAATTCTGTTTCATTTTGTCCTAAAGCAGTTTTTAAAATGGGCACTCTCTTTTTAAAAGCAAATATTCATGCCAATGAATGTGTCCCTGTTGTCAAAATAACAAGTTATGACACCAGCATCTTTGAACAATCAAGCAAAAAGGTCAAACATGTTTTCATTGTGACAAATTAATCTGTAAGTGCTTCCCAATGTCATGTAAAGTCAAGACAGCATTATAAATGATGCATGGCATTTTAAAAACTATTATTAAATACAAATCAAGACACTGAATTAGCATTTCACTTATATTGTATAAACTGTGCAACTGTTCACAGCATGTGCAATAGGGAAACATAACATCTACAACAAATATAAATTCCCTTTGGCTCAGTAAACCTTACTGCAGTAGTTTTAAAAATGAAAATACAGTAAAACAGACAGTGCTGCAAATCAGACGCATAGACCCTCCCGTCTGTCTGGCCACATATTTTCATCAAAATCACAGCAAATATCAGCTCTGTTAATGCACAGAGAAGAGTATCTTCTGGACCCACCCTCTGCAGTGCTCTGATGTGATGTCATCCCAAGTTGCATCTATGGCTGCCTTTGGGGTCATTTGAGTATGTGGACCTGACCCTCACCTGGATTTAGGAATGGAGAGTAGAAAGGAAGATACTCCCTAGGCATCTTGTCAGGTGCTTTAAACCACTGCCTGGCTACTGCAGTGGTGGAAGCTTATATTATACCAATCAAACATACTTTGATTGGTTTCTCCCACCAGACACTCTGGTGGGAGAAACACAGGTAAGTGACCACAATCATCTGACATAAGATGATGATCTCAGTGAGTCACTTACCTTGTTTAACATTTCAGTCCATAACCCTTGAAGGGGCGTGAACCAGCAGATGGGCTGATAGCTGACGCGGCGCGCTACACCCAAAGTGTCCCCGGTGCTGCAGCTCCTGAGGATTGGCAGGAAGCCGAGCCTGGACAGGGTTATCAGGCAGGAACAGACAGAACAGGATCCAGATCAGGCAGGAACAGGAAGAAGTCAGGATCTAGGCTTCCAAGGTAATCCACCAGCTCCCAGGCAGAGTCTGACTGAGTCCAGAAGCATGACCAGCCAGTCACGCACAGGAGCAGACAGGATCGGGTGCAGACAGGCAGGCTCAGTGGCAGAGGGGAGCAGAGACAGGACGTGGAACCAGAACTTGATGCAGGACCTTTAAACCGGTCTCCACCTTGGAGCCAGGCTTACTGAGATAAAAACTGATCCTCCCCGTGTACAGAGCCAAAAACCCAGAGGGACAGACACAAAACCCTCTTTTTTTCACTGGCCGCCAGGATCCAGGACAAGAACCTTAGAAACAAACAAAACTGAACCGCAAAACATCTAATGATCTTGCCATGATAGCTGGAACTGAACCCAATATAAGGACAACTGGCAGGTGGATGAGATGAGTGATAATTAGGAGTTGAAAAGGGTTAAGCAGGTAAACGGCATGAGTAATCAAGGCCAGCTATCACAGCAGATCATGACAAGCAGATTGTGAAAAAATTAAGTCAGTCTAACAAAGCATCTACCACAACAAACTGTACAGTAATCACTGTATATATAGTTACAGTAACCTGTGTGACCCTGGAATGCAAGTGCAGTGCTTACTGTAGAAATACATCGAAGTTGTACAGTATAGCACTTAGCAGAGTAAAGCATGCATTCAAGCTTTACCTGCACATGATGTTGACAGAGCTGCTTCACTCACTGTTCCATTCAAATGGTACACGCTACAAATGTATCGTTTACATGTCATTCCATGTGAAGACTGTCTATTGCTGAAATTGATATTGAATAACACTGAATATTGAATAAATAAATCATTTAAATATTTTCAGTGATGTTGTCATTTTCCTGATTTGTATTTCTCGCAGCCTAATAGCATTGTTTGCAATTACCATTGCACAAATACTTTCCTCTTTCTTTGGAGTCAAAAGGAAACCTCTTCCACCTCTTCTTGGTTGGCGTATAACCTCTACAATCAAATGTTGTGGAGGCTGCACTAACTTTTTCAAATTTTAATTTTTTTGTAAGAAACTCACCAAAGCTACTGAAAAAAACTGTATTTCCAACAACTAACACGTCAAATGGAGATGATAATAATAAGATAAGATAACGACTATAAAAGAAAGGAGGAACTCCGGAAACAAAGTGCTCAAATGGAGGAAAAACAATTTCTCCCAGCTGTTGGGTGGGGGACTGTATAATGACAAGTGATCACGTTAGGCATGGAGAATGAGATATTGCAGAATCTTCGGAAATGAGTGGAAACTTTCACAATTAGATATTAAATTTTCCAACCTTCTCAGTAATCCCTGCTGGATAGAATTTTTTAGTACAGATATGTTTTCTTTTTTCATAAGCCATAGCACGATTTGTATGTGGTTTGTCACTTATCAACTCCCCATTTCCTTATAGTTCCTTCTATTATCCTAATGATGATACAGCCATACAACAGCCTGTTCTGTAGACAGTTAGAATGTGGATTTTAATCATGTTTATAATTTGTGTCTCCTACAGCTTTTTGAAGTTAATGTGATATAACCTGTTCCTCTTTGTGGGAGGGTTCAGTACATTTTCAATAAACAGAGAACATGAAGAGCTAAGTGTAACTCTAATAAGAAGGCAATTTATGTTATTGTGCCTAAATCTCATTATTCCCAAGACAGCACTGCTTTTTAATGTTTTAAGTTTAGTCCATGGAGCAGAATGAATGTCACCCATTCTTCTCTGCCCCATCACTAATTCAGTTTCATTTGTTTTTGGACTTATTTTGCAGTGAGCACCTATATTGAAATGATTGGCATATAAAAGGAAAGTCAGCAAATGGTAAAAACTGCCCGAAGTTACAAAAAAAACAAAAAACTAATGTGATAGGTATCTACAGACTGTTATAAAAACAAATCACTTTTTTTTTTTTGTCGCTTTTTTCAGTCATAACACTTTGTGTAGATAAATCTTATACCACTCTAAACTTAGGCTATTGTTCCATAAGTGTTGCCTCCTTTTTTTAATGAAAATGCTTTTGAGCGTCAGAGATGAGAAATTTGGCGACATCCAGTTTTCCAATGCCAAAATGCTTTTGGTTTGATGGGATGAAACTGCATCTCTCTCAGTGGCAAAATGTCATCAGTACAGAGAGAGAGAGATACAGAGATGGGATTTTATAAAAAGTGGCAGTCCTATATCTCCACTATTAAGTATCAAAGTCTTTACTCCGAGATGTCCAAGCTCACCTCCACAGAGCAGGGTTAAACAGAAACCTCTTTCACAAAATATTTCCATCACAAACCCATAAAGACAAGACACCATATCACATTTGTGAATTTTAACAAAGAAAGCCAGCAGTGTGGGACAATAGAAGATGTTGTGTGGCACTGATGTCCGCACTGTAATGTCAACCTACTGTATAAGGTAACATTCAAAGCAATAATTGAGAAGTCATTCTATTGGCCAAGCAATGGCTTCAGATTTAAATTAGTCAGCAATATTTTCTTAGTCTTTTTAATGTTTTTAAATGCTTCGCTTAGACTGTCACATGAAAAATATGACCATTTGGATGGTCACATGAAACACATATCCATACATATGACTTGTCCCTATGCAAGTCAGCCAATGAAGCACTAGATTCAATTCTTATCTTTTTATGTTTGCTTTTTTATTCTCCTATTTTTTTGGGTTCAACTTCTATTTTTTCAATTTCAACTAAGATTTACAAGTTTACAATTATTATGACTTCTTTCTGCCTCCATACACTAAAGCTGAACGACACGACTTTGAAATCTAATCTGCAACATTTTCCTACCAAATCCAATATTTTTTTTCTCTGATATAAATGACAAATAACACATTACATTCAAAAGCAACCTTTTATTTCAATCATTCCCTTTGTGACGAGACCTCACTTTAAAAGGACAATGAAGTTCAAACTGGGAAAATGCTTGTTTAACAATGTTTCACAATAAACAATGAAAATAGCTAGTGGTGACACACAGTAAGCTAGTTTATCAGTTATAAGTAAGCATCTAAGGAAAAAACAGTGAGGAACTGATGTCACCATGAGCTATAGAAGCCCAAGAAGTGCATTTGTGGGGGGAAAAAATTCCCGATTTTCTATAAATGAAATCTTCATAAACAGAAAATTGATTTAATTGATTAATGTCCCTGCCCTGGTGACGACTTTTTCTGGCAATTCAGGAGCATAACTCTGGTTTTGTTTTATTTAAAAGCTATTAAACATCTTTACTATTACATATTGGAAACACAATAACTCTGAAATATCTGAATGAATTAAAAACTTAAATAGTTCAGACATTTTTTATTTCATGGTTTCTGTTTCTGTTCATGACAAGTATAAAATGTAGTCATTAACTAGCAGTGATGTATTAACCACACAAACCAGAACTGGTGAATGCACATTTTTTTAAACACTTTCTAACACTTTTAGGTTTGCTTAATGTAACCATTATGATGCCAAAGCTACATATGGGAGATTTCTGATGTCACATTTATGCATCCAGCTGTCTCCAGGTTCTGAAGAGGATGAACACGAAGGTCCAGTGCTTGAGAAACTTGGTCGCATTCAGTTCAGCGTTGGGTACAGTTTTCAGGACTCGACTCTCACTGTCAAAATTCTCAAAGGACAAGATTTGCCTGCTAAGGATTTTTCAGGCACATCAGATCCTTTTGTGAAAATCTACCTTCTGCCAGACAAGAAGCACAAATTGGAGACAAAAGTCAAGAGGAAGAATCTAAACCCCCACTGGAATGAAACATTTTTATTTGAAGGTATTAAGAGAATTCTTGCATCCCATTGTATACACATGAAGCCCATTTCTTGATAACTTTTACTCCTTTTCAATCTGCTTTTCAGGTTTTCCCTATGAAAAGGTGGTTCAAAGGACACTCTACCTGCAGGTTCTTGATTACGACCGATTCAGCAGGAACGATCCCATAGGGGAGGTGTCCATCCCCCTCAACAAGCTGGACCTGGCTAACATGCAGACTTTCTGGAAGGAGCTGAAACCATGTAGCGATGGCAGTGTAAGTCAGGGGCGAGGCAGAGGGAAGACAAGGAAGGGGGGGGGATTTGAAGGGATAGAAAATGGGGTAGAACGTGTGATGTCATTTCTGGCTGCTGTGATGCTCCCGGGGGGAGATGTGGCAGCATAACGACAGGGGAGGGGAGGTAGGGAAATATGGAGAAGCTGACAGGTGGACAGATATTTCACAGACAGAGACAAGAACAGGAAGGCTCAGCAGGCAGAGAGCGGAGATAATTAGAAAAAGGGAAACAAAAGTAAACAATTTAATGGTGTTGTTTTCCTCTGTGATAAATATTTATTTTTTCTTTAACAGGGAAGTCGAGGAGATCTACTAGTGTCCCTGTGCTATAATCCCACAGCCAACACCATCACTGTGAGCATCATCAAAGCACGCAACCTCAAAGCCATGGACATTGGAGGCACTTCTGGTATCAATGCTTCTTTGTCTTTTATTCATGCATATTTTTCAGAGTCACTGCTCTCAAATGGAAAATTGGCTCTTTGTTCCCTGTCGGAAAGTAAATTTAAATTCCTGATTCATCAGAAACATTGTGCAGCAATTGTAGTCAAAAAAATCGTGCCAACCAGAATGTTTTCTATTTCTCAGACCCCTATGTAAAAGTGTGGTTGATGCACAAGGACAAACGCGTGGAGAAGAAGAAGACGGTGGTAATGAAACGGTGCCTGAACCCTGTTTTTAATGAGTCTTTTCCCTTTGACGTGCCGGCCCACGTGTTGAGGGAGACCACCATAATTATCACCGTCATGGACAAGGACAGACTCAGTCGCAATGATGTCATTGGAAAGGTATCTCCTTCCTCTCTCTTTCACGCTGCTTCCTGCCTCTTCTTATCTTCCTCTGTTTCTCTGTCTCTGACAGACCATTAGCATCTAATGAATTAACCAGTCTCTACTGACCCCTACTGGATCAAGCACATCTCCAGTCAGAAGCAGTCAGGATTAAAGTGTGTTTCGGTTTTTTTATTGTAATTTCTCCATTTTTAATAGCAATACAATTAAGAAACAAAGCATGATATTTTTTATTTTTCACTTTTTTTGTGTCTGTTTATATATATATATATATATATATATATATATATATATATATATATATATATATATATATATATATCTTTAGTTAGCAGTTAAGGATAGCTTGCAAATGATCAGAAGGCTGTCATCGGTTTAATAGCAGGAACTCAACATTTCTCTAAATTATGTAGATCTTTTGCACAATTTTGCAGCTGCCTGCAAAATCTTTTTTATTACATCTGAATTCATTCAGATTTTTTTATTCATCACCATTGCCCAAATCAAATGAAGAAGAGTCTTCATAAGTAAACATATTTTAATGTTAATTAAAGGTTAACCTGTGTTTAGAGGTTGAAATTACTTTATATAGGTTGTAGGCAGTGGCGGCTGGTGGAGTTTTCTCCATGGGGAGGTATAAATTAAAAATAGATGTATACCAAAAACCAATCAAACACATACTAAGTTATCACACCAACAACAATAAACATTATAAAAACACTTTATTAAAACAAAACATAATTTCCCTGACAGTTTTAATTTTTGTAAACAAATCTTGCCCTTTCTTAGGCTTTATAAAGGCAAATCTGTGTTTTGCATGGTCCAATATTGTGTCACAAACCTAAAAAAAATAATGTACCAGTTTAATAATGGAGAAGCTATTAGTCAGCTTTATATTGTTTAATGTATAAAAACTATTTATTTTCTGAGAATGTCTTTATTTAAGAGCATTATGCAAATTAACAAACATCTAAAAAGACTAAACTATATTATATTATTTTCAATGTGAATTCCAGATTGTTCATTCTTCTATGCCTTTTCTAAAAAGTGTTTTAAATGAGTCCTTTATCCATGCTGGGTCAGATCCTGATGTTTGAAAAAGGAGGCAGGGAAAGCAGAATAAAGTGTTAGCCTCGCTACATGCAGTTAGCCAAGCTTTGTTGCTAAACCAGGTCCTAGAAAAAGAAGTTTCTTGCTCCATTTCTCTCTCTCTCTCCAATGCGTCTCCAACCCACGCAATTCGACCTGTCAATCACCAGCAAAACGTTTGCGCTGTGGTGGGAGGTGATGAGCAAATACACCGCCTGTCACCTCAGGGCACACCAGAGCTGTGCCATGAGCTCTCCTATACCTTTGTATTGCAGAGGAGCTACTGCAAATGTACAATTTTTAACAAGAGTCAATGGGCAAAGATTTTTTCTCCATAGGGCAGAAATACGTCACCAATCCGACGAAAAATTATGCTTTACTAGTCATTAAAGATTAAATATTTATCTTGCAGATCTAAAAGATATATATGAATATATATCATTATATTTTGAAATATTTTAAAATTTAATTTAAAATTAAATTATAATTAAAAAAAAAAGTTTTTATGTCTTAATCAGGGTCATTGAGTGGGTGGGGTGTTGTCCTAGCACCCTCTATTGACCAGCTGCCACTGGTTGTAGGATTAGGACGCTGTAAACCCATCATCTTTTAAAGTTTTATTCCTGAAAAGAAAACTATGGTGCAACCATTCCGCAAACAGCTGTATGTCATGATTGTTTTAAGGATTTGACCCACATGCAGAGAAAACCACTCAGAGAACAAGGCAAAAGTTTAACAAGTTTATTGTAGGTGTTAACAGGAGTGGGGTTGGATCTGGAACTCAGTGAACTGGTGAACCGGAACTGGAAGTCAGAAGGGAAGATCACAGAGATCAGTTCAGGGACCGTGGGAATTTTGGCTTTTGTTAAATTTATGCAGGAGAGGGACTCGCGCTTGAGGGGGCTCTTGTCAATCCTTGAGAGCGGACAGGTAGACAAATGTTGGACCCCGAGGAGTTATGGAGCGGACTGCACTGGGATATCCGATTGGAATTTGAATGGATCATGTTGAGGTTTCCCCCTGCTCAGTGTGAACTCAGGCTTTCCTTCCAGGGGGAGAAGGTCCAGGTATCCAGTTATACAGGAAGGCTTTCTGCCAAAGGACAAAAAAAAAAACACAATAAACTCAAAGAAACAAAGCTTGGTTAGACTCTGCTAATCTCAGCTTGGCTAGAGTACCCAAAACTGGCAAACACTCTGGCCTCGAGGTAGTGACAGTCCACTGCTCAAATACTCCTCCAGATAATGATCCAACGAGCTGCAGGTGTGCAGGGAGGCCCAATGAGGACAGAGCACCACGTGGTGAAGGAGAAAAAGAAACACAAAAACAACCACACAAACTGGATTCCTGACACTGTAGCCATAGTGGGGTTGAAAGAATTTTAAGTCTGTTGGACAAAATGACGAGAAGAGAGATTAAGGAATTCCCATGAATGGGTTCTGTAGTAAATACATCTTGATGTAATATATGTTTATTGAATGCAAAAAAAAAAAAAAGTCTAAACTTACAACAGTCTAGAGCTGCAGCATGCTTAATCATACGCAAAACCACTTTGACGTGATTTGGGTAATCCTATGACTTTTTATGTGTGAACATTGAATAGTTTTACTGGCCTTCTGCTGAGGCAGACTGGAAGTTTAAGAACACAGAACAGAGGCACAAAATGAACATAGATCCATGAATAATTTCTATATTAGAGAAGGTGATGGTAAACTGGCTCTCTAGGCTTTGAGTTGGTTTCCAAGTCTAGAGGCTAAAAAAGAGCACACACAGTTAGTTACAGTAAAAGCTGAGTCAGCAGCCATCTTTAGGGGAGAAACAGTACTAAAAACTGAAGAACAGAGCCAACTTTATCATGAAATCATCAATGGCAGAAGCTCAGTGGATGCTGCCCCTCCAGGAGGATGTCGCAGCTTAACATACTGTAGCACCACACCACATTGCAACTACTATGAATGGAAAAAAATATAAAACGATAAAATTAAAAGTTTCAGTAAAACAAATATAGCAAAAGTTCCTTAAGAACAATGATTTATGTTCCCATCACACCTTGCAGTTGCTGTGGAATGAAAAGATTGAGTATTGAGTGAGAGATTAAATATTTTAGGTTTCACACATTTATTATTCTGCTAAGAAGGCTTGCCAGTATTTATTTTTATTTTTTTAAACCAGATATCTAAGCTGGAATACCTATTACGCATTATATTTTTCTTTATAATCATAAATACAACTACAATACTGGATATGTTATGACTTAATTTTGTTGAAGTGCACCACTTAGACATTTATTTATACAGTCTGTGGATATACACTGTTAATTGTTTATGCCGTCTGTTTGTTGTTTGTTTTTTTATACCAATTCTAAAATAGAACATTAACTCTATTTGGTTTTAACCAAGCGCCCACTTGTATTTTTAACTCTACCTATAAAAGTAAGGAATTTATGTAACATGCTGGAAATATATCATAGTCAGCCTCTGCTCCTTCAGGCTGTGACAGAATAAACTCTGTCTGAGCAGCTTGGATGAGCTATAGCAATTACATCCACTGTCACTGCAGGTGGTGTACGTTCTGAGCATCCTTAACTATATACATTATCCACCTACATACAGCGATCATAGTACATTGCCTGTTTTACCATGCATGCTCAGTAATCAGCATTTAGAGCTTTAGAGAAAAATGTGTTTCCTCAAATCTAATCCAAAGATCAGTTATGAATTTTCTAGGGAATACTTTTTAAAGCTTTTCATGAAATGTCCAACTGGTTTGGAAAATGCTCATTATAAATAACACAGATGTTGAGTGATGATACATCCGGTATTAAATGTTTTTGTCTCCCAGATTTATCTTTCATGGAAGAGTGGCCCAGCAGAGGTTAAACACTGGAAAGACATGATAAGTCATCCTCGTACCACCGTGGCCCAGTGGCACTCTCTCAAAGCCTGAGGGGCCCAGGAGCCAAACTGTCTAAAGTGTTACCCCACCCCACCCCACCAGGAAGTCAACGTGAGCGTCTCAGCACACATCCCTTCTCCCTAAATGCAGTGTTGGGCTGTCGACCATGTATCACCTCTTTGTTCTCAGGCCTCTTTGATATTCCTCGCCCTCAGTCCTTGTGAATCAGCCCTAAAATTGCACCACCTTGTCAAGTTCTGATTGCCACCTGACTCTTTTACATCGGCCTGAATGAACTTCAAAATGTCTTTGATATCTTAGCTCCCTTGTGCCCTCTTTCTGTACCATTTATTTCCCAAGATATCTTTCAGTCTTTCTTCCATCATATCAGCCATTCCTAGAGCCTAACATCAGAGCAGTAGCTCTTGCTGCCCATGGATACAAACTACCAACCAAAAATGAATCAAACTGATAGTCAAATCATCCTCTGTGGCAGCAAGAGGGACTGTGTTTGAGCATAAGGGTGACCTGTGGGAATCATGTATCACCTCACATCTGATATCTCTGCTCCTTCTATTTCCATCTCTAATCCTGCATATCTTCAAAATGCCTAAAAAAAACAAACAAACAAAAAACAAATCAGGAAATGAAGGAGTGACGGACTGAATTTCAAATGGACTGGAAGTGGACTCTGTTGTTTAAATTTTCTTTGAACGTTTCCCTTTCTCACTGCCACCACTGTAATTCTCCCATGGCTGGAACCCTTTAGTCGTCTGTGCGTGATGTGCGTGACGTGCTGTAATCCCAAATGATGTTCAACCCAAAAAAAAGGAGGCATGGACATGAACATTTAACACTGGTCTGAAAAGGCAAGTGTGGAAGATATGTTTCCATTTAGAAAAAAAAAAAGAGGAGTAAAGTGATTATTGTACCTTATTTTATTTTATTTTTTTTAAAGAAATCCTCCAGAAAGAAAATAAGCAAAAAGCCTCTCCCATTTGTGTGGTAGTGTGGATACATATATGTATGTATGTGTGTGTGAGGGAGTATTTTAGGCCTGCACTGCCAAATGGAGAGAAATAAATATCCTTATCATGATAAATTATAAATTCAGGCAGACCTTTGTAATTTCCACCTGGTATATAACTATACTTTTGTCACGCTTCATTCTGATAGAGATGTGCAAAAAGCCTTAAAATAAATTCCTGTTTTATTACAGCAGAAAAAAATGCTGCAGCTCACTATCCAAATAATTTTTTGATGAAAAAAAAAATTGGGGTTTGATTTTTGCTTCCCTTAATCATCCTACACACAAGAGTGGATGCAGAATAAACTTTGGTCTTTGGTTTAGACTTTGTTCTAGTTGGTTTAGACTTTTTAAAACACTGCTTCTGAGTTTTTATATGATAAAATGTGAGCTAAACAATTTTTGTGTATCTATTTCTTGATTTCTAATTTCCGGCACATTTTCCGGTGTTTATTTTGAGCAGTGACTTAAATAATCAGGAGAAGTTATTGCATATCAGTTCTTAAAAGAACTTACCTATTATTTTACATAAACTTGTGTTTTTTTGTGTGCACATAATACAATGGATTTTGTCACTGCAGCAAAAGAAGAATTATTTAATGGCTGTTTACACTTTGTTACCAGGTTTTGAATTTTTATCAAATCTATATGTTGAAAAAATTTATTGCAATGACCTCAATCACCCAATTATCACATCATAATGATGTTAGAAATTTCTTAGTAGAGAGTACAGAACGTATAAATGTATTAACTGTCAGATTATAGTGGATCCTTAAAGATGTATGGTTGAAGCAAATTTGTCATCTTGACAATAATCCTAATATTTTTTTAACTTAGTATTTTTTTAAGTGATAAGTCTTAATAAAAAAGGCCAAGCATGATAATGATAAACTATGTTAATTAATGTAAGTTGCATTTAAATACAAAATCACTGCCAGGACAAAGAAACAGATAGAAAGACAAATTACAAACTGGATATTTATTAATGGAAAGTGTTACATGAAACACACCCAAATAGCAGCAGGTGAGGTAGACAAATTATTAAATATAATAATACAGAAAGGTGGCTGGAGGTCCTTTCTTTCTTGTTTATAGCTGATGTTGAGCTTAGGTTTTTCCACTTTGACGTAATGAGCTTACAGGGATTCACTGAAAAGGAAAAATCTAAGTAAATCTTTTTTTATATTTTCCTTTTCTTGTTTTCTAATTAAATACAGACAGGCAATAAAACAGAAACTAAATGATGAAACAATGACACATTCCAGTAAATCAAAACCACACTGTGCTTGTTAAGCACTGATGGACTGAGCTGTGCCTTAAAGCACAGCAGTGCATTGCCCAGACTCAGTTATAGCTGATTTTGTTTGGGCTTAGGGTCTGATTAAAGTACTGGTCGGCTTCCTCTGTGCTTGTTTTACTGCCTGAGCTTGACCTTCATCAAGCCCCATAGAGGGATGTATTGATCACTTGAGTGAAAACAAATTAGAATAATCAAATTTTAGGGGAGGGGAGAACTTTTACATTCCACAGTTTGTGTTGGTCTTCTGGAGGCGTGTAAGTGAATCTTCACTTTGTGTGAGTGTCAGTGTTCAGACTTTCTACTCTGTGTGTCCACAGTAAGTTTGAATTTACCATTTTGACATTGATTGACACTGTTTACTGTTTTCTAAATCTGTATAAATTTAAATGTACAAAGCGAAATGTTTTTTGTTTTGTTTTCCTAAAGATTGTCCGTATTTATATGACCTACTGCACTTGTTAGGGACTATGCTAGAGCAGACCTCTGATCATAGCAGGGTTATTTTCTTCTGTCCTGTATGTCTTGAGATGCAAATATCTCTAAAGAAAAAAAAAAAATAAGCCTAAAATTTCGAGATTTAACCTCCTCAATCTCACTATCATTAACCGGAGTTTATGTTTATACCAAAGCAGCTTCCAGTGTTATATCATAAATGTCAGCTCCGCCCTTTCTGTCTGATCTCATCTCACTCAGCCAAAAAGGCGTCTCCTTAACATCTCAACTGACGCTGCACCAGAACGCCCCTGCCGTGCACACATGCTTCCTGGCACAAAGCGTGCTGCGTGTGCCTTGTTAACTCTGCCACGCCTTGCTCTTCACCATATGCCCTACCACTCAGTCTATGTAGAGGTTGAAGAGGGGTGTTGAGGTAAAAAGGGTAAAAAATAGGATAATCACAACCGTCAGCTATTCACAGAGCTCATAGCTAAGTCTCAGGTCATGGGAGAAAGTTGAGAAGCTCCTAGAAATAAGGAGCAATAGATTCATTCATGTGTCTTAAAGGCGTTCTGTCTCAGACAAGAGACTTTTTATTTAAATAGTGATTAAAGAGCACTCCATTTCAGAGCTCATGAGGAAACGATTTAAATTAATGCATTTAAATTATTTAGTAAAGATATGATTGAAACCAAATATTTACATACACTGCATAAAAAGACACATAACCTTTATGTCAGTTCGGATATTTAGCTAAACACTAGAATAATGACTATTTTTCAGATCTTTTATATCAGATTCAGAGGTGTACATGTTTTGTATTTGTTTTGTTAGAATTGACCTTTAAACAGTATAAATTGGGTTTAATATTTGGAACATCACACAACTTTTTCGTTGGCCAGAGCTTTGTGATCACAAGTCTGAAACACTTTGACTTCCACAGTGTAAATAATTTATCATCCTCATTAAGGTTAGGGTCATTGTCCCATTTATGCCATTCGACTTCTTGATTTTAAAGTTTTATTATTCGGCTTTATTTTTATTTGTTTTTTAAATGGATTCTTCATCTCTAAGTGACCCTTGATTCCATGTTTGTACAAGAGTTTTACTATTGATGATTATCTGTAAGCAGATTTAGTCAACATCTTCACAAAGTAATTTGAAGGCTATGCTCTAAAAGATTTTTGCCTCACAAGCTCTGAATCCTTCTCCTCAATGAATGGTGAAGGTTAAACATTCCCACGATGTTTACACTTGTTTAAAATTTTAATGTTTAAAATATGGCAGATACTAAGAATATGAAAGATTCATTCAAACAGCAAAGGTTAGTGATTCCATTATAAATATCTTGGATTATTCTGTTACCTTAGAAGTAGTGCATTTGAGTTGTTGCTGAAAATTACATCCACAGATGTGGCTCCATTTAACCTAAAGATTCAGAATCAGAAGCATAGATGGCCTTTACACTAACATCTCAGCTTCCTAAATTGTTTGACGGCAAAGAAATCATTCTTGCAGTAATAAATAACTTCTCTAAAAAGTATAACTCCATTTTCTGGTGTCTAGAAAAGAGCAATAATGCTATTTTATCATCATCAGACAGATTTAAATAATTTCTGACAGAGAGGAAAAAGGGTCATGTGTCTTTGTATATCTTGTATACAAATATTTGGTTAAATGTAAGTTAATTAGGGTTTTAGTTATTATTATTTATTTATTTATTTTAGAGATCGAGCTGAAATGTGTCTTTCTAAACATTACATAGTCAACAACACTATCAAAGTTTGCCAAACAAGCTCATACATCTATTCTAGGGCATTCTATTAAAGAACCGCTGGAAATAAAGAGAGGTTTACTGGCAACACTTTGATTTATCTGATGTACGAATTATCGTGAAGTGTCTTGTATGTAAAAAAAAAAAAAAAAGAACATATTTATTGGGGTAGTTGATATCTTTCTGTCCTCAGGATCACTAACTCCTCTTTCACTCTTTTTTTCTTGTGATCACACATCCGTGGGGTGCACAATGTTGAATATCAGCCATGACTTTTTTTTTTTTATTATTCTGTACAGTGTAAATAATGATATAAATGTGTATATAAAACAAATATTCTTCTGGTCTGGTATTGATATAAACTTTCTAAAGCACTGTTTTTACTCAATTTATAGATTTTTAAAAATCTTTTATCGATAAAGATTCATTCTAAAGGCTCTGCTGTGAGATTAGATGCAGCTTTGGAGATGGTGAGTTGTTTGATATGAGAGAAGATATTACAGTGATTTATAAAAATGGAACCTGATTCTTAAAAAAAAGAAATCAATAGCATGCTAACTGTGGTAACAAAAGTAATTTAAGCAGATTTAAATTATAAACTCTATTGTTGCCTTGGCATAGGCAGTACATTTTTACATGCTACAAAAGGAAAGTCATTTTCTTTAAACTATAGTTTTTGATTATTGAAGTTGGAATTTGTGAAATAGTTAAGTTTTCAATACCTTACTTTCAGCAGACCTATGTTTTTATTAAAATTAGTTTGCATAAATAATGGTTCTTGTTCCCTGGTTATCACCAACAACTCATGACGGGAGAAATAAAGAGAGGCTATAGAGGATGAGCTTCAGTTCTAGAAAGCCTTTTGACTGCAAGTCATCCCACATACTGTTGACTGAAAGCTATTTCACAAAACCCCACCAAAAAAAAGATTTCATCTTTCAATATTCTATTTTGGCTCTTTAAAAAAAAAAGCTATTATTCTAATTTACATGAGCGCAGTAATGCTTATGTTGTCATGACTAAGAACAGAGGACCCAGTATTCAAGGCCAGACAAACAGTGGATTACTCGAAAGCGTTTATTTAAAACAAGGATCTGCGGTTCCCCATATGCATCTAAGGCAGGAATCTCTGCAGGAGAGAAACACAGGTTAGTGACCATGATAATCTGACAGAGGATGATTATGAAAGCGTGAGTCACTAACCTGGTTTTAGAGTTCAGTCCATGCCCAGAGCATGAGGAAGGATCCAGCTGGTGGGCTGCAAAAAGATGAGCAGAGTCTCCTAGACACTGCAGCCTCTGAGAACAGAGAACAAGCAGGAGACAGAAGCCAGGTCAGGCAAACAGTTCAGAGCAGGAACAGGCAGGATGAGAGGTCTATGAGTCCAAAGTTCAGGCAAGCTAAGTGGTTGAGAGGCAGAACAGGTAAGGATCAGGTAATCAGAAATATCAAGGAACTCTAAAAACACTCTCACCACTGGCAAGAGAAAACAAGAATAATAACTGCATACAAGCAATTTAAATAGAGGCAGGAGCAGGTGAATCAGATGAACAGTGATGAGAAACTGGGCAGAGTTAGGTAAATGAAATGAGCAATTAAGCCAGTCCTCAGTGCCAAGATCATGTTATACATTGTTTTACTTTTAACATGCTGAATGATTCCATGTGCAGGAAAGACAACAGATTTTCTTGCTTTTGCCGGCATTTGCTTTTGTTATTCCATAATGTTTAATTTGCATTCAAAAGTCAAGAACTGCAGATATTTTTCAGACAAGTTCTTGCATTAACTCCTAATAGAGACTAGTCTCAATCACTGCAGTCTGGTGAACCTGTAGTCTGAGGGTTATACTTGTTTCTGTTTCAATTATCAGACATAGTAGAAGTTTAATATCCTCATCCAACCAGTTTGCCAAATAATTAAAAATTATTTGAAATTTGCCCCGAACATTTTTTTTAAGAAAATGAAAAATAGGATGTCTGGTCACCCTATGTTTCAGTGATTGAGTGCTTGTTGCTATGATGCAGCTTTGCTCGTTATAAACCAACCAATCAGCACACAGCTCATCTAAATATTCATGGGAATACCATAAAAGGAAGAAACCCTGTCTTTTCATTCTAGGGCTTTTAACCATGCTTGCATTAGGGCGCATAGAACAGCAAATATGCCCTTTTCAGCCCAACCAATGTTACACACCCTATTCAGAGACTTTAAGGACCAGCACCAAATACCCTATATAATCATTCTATGACCCCTTTAAAAGAAAATGTAACGCAACATCCTAAAGATGGCATATAAACCCTAGAGTTCTGATTTTATCATAATGTTTGCCGTGTATTTTTCCCCCACAGTGTAAGCTCTGTTGGAGGCTGTTTTTTTAGTTGTATGAAGTTATTGCACATATCTAATTAAGGAAACAGCTTCCTCTGCCTCCTACACTTTGGTTTCAATAAGCTTTCAAAGAGTGATAGCATCTCGGAGAAAAATGGTGTTTGGTGTATCGCCAGGAAGTGTTTAATTTACCAACTCATTTGGTCTGACACCTCTCTAAAAATGGAGAGCTATCTTCATCTCTGATCATCATTGAACAAATCAGCAGCAAACTTGTTAAGATGATGGGACATGCATGCTGCCGGTGGTGCTAGATGAAAGTGAAAGCACGTGAGCCAGAAATTCCAGGGTGTCTGCAGCGCTGAGGATAAAACCGAGTTGTCACGACACAGGAAGCAGAAGCAGAGGATGACAGGAGCGCTGGGCTACAGATAGGCGCAGTGGGTGTGCGTGGGAAACTTGAATAAACACTCTAAACAAGCCTCAGAGCAAGAAAGAAGGGAATTGTGCCCACCCTGCATGTGGGCTCTTAAGGTGGAATCCTTTTCCTCTTTCTTTTTACAGCCACTGTGGAGGATGCTCAATTATTGTCCATCAAGTTTTCTAAAAAAAATAATATGACCTACTTACAAATTAGACTTCCCACTCCTGTTTTACATAGCATGTAAAATGTTTTAATACATTTCTTTTTTAATCTTGTACAGATGTGTTTATTTTTATCCAATCTATTTTTTTAAAGTGTGAACACAAAAAAGGCCGTTAAGAACATAGACAGAGGTTGCTGAGGTGTGACCATGTTATGCACAGTAGCTCTCATAAGTGTGTGATGTTTTTGTGATAAAAAAAAAACCAGTTTTTTTCTCCCATAAATAAATGCATTATTTCCTGCATAATCTCACTGGAATTAAAACATGCTAGAAGTAAACTATCCAAAAGAACAATAACCTATTAAAAAAAAAAAAGATTGTAATGTTTTGTTTGTTAATATACATTTTGAAATGCACATTTCCCAGATTCTGCAAATGATATTTTCATTATTTTATAGGTTTTCATATGTATTTAATCCCGAGTTTAATGTTAACTCATGGTTTGTATTGCTTATTCTTACATGTATTTGCCTCTAATACAGTTGTATTTCCCCACACAGATACAATAAGGTGATATTCTATTCTATTCCATTATATTCCATTATATTCTGTTCTATTCTATTCTATTCTCTTTTAACCTTGGTAGCTAAAGTATGCACCCTTTAAACATATGATTTCTTGCAGCACCTAGTAATTCTATTAGCATTCTGTTGTTGCTGTGATACTAAAAGATCCAAGTGCACATCATGCCTGTGGTAAAAACTACCTTTTAAAGATAAAAAAAATAAGGGTTAATTTAATACAACAAAAGAGAAATTTGGAGAGTAAGGCAGAGGAAGTGAAGAATCCACCAGTGAATAAAGAGTAAGAGTGTGTTTATATACTGAGGCAGGGAAGAGAATGACAAATGTGTCAGAGGAGCTGATAATAGATCATGTGAAGGAGCTGAGGCTAAATGAAGGCAGGGAAAATGAGATAGAAGACTAATTATTAAAGGAAGCTGATTAAAGAAATAAATTGCAGGCCAAGAGGAAAAGACAAATAAAATAAATAAAGGCAATAGCCCAAAACAGCAATATTATCTGCAGCATTAGTTTAAGAAAACAGAACAAAAAAGCATAAACAATCATGGTAAAACCTAAATGAATGCAACTATAACAGGGAAAGGATGAAAACATAAACGCAGCAGAAAGCCTAAAAATATAAGGCTCATCCTAAGCTCATTAAATATCTCACATTTTGACTTGATTATGCTTGCCAAATGTATCTGGAAAAAGTTTTTAAAATTCTAAGAAAGCTTTTCCGCTGCTCTTTTGCCTTTATTTTAAATGTACACACATGGACAAATGTGTTCTTACCTCTTGTTCAATGAAAGAAAACCTTCCAAAAATAACTTGAATCCGACTAAAGTAATAATAGATGAAAAATGTTATGGAGATGAACAAATAAAAGTCTGACATTGCTTTTTAACTATAACCTGTAACTGTCAATGAGACAGTTACAGGTTGAAAGACAGTTGCTCCTCTCAGCAGGTATTTTGGCCCACTTCTCATTAGAAAACTGCTGCAGTCATCGTATGTTTGAAGGGTGCATTTTCCAGATGACATGTTTCAACTTCTTCCCAAGATGCTCAATAAGATTTAGGTCAGGGCTCAGAGAAGGCCATAGAATAGTCCAGGGTTTTCCTCTTAGCCATTCTTGGCTGTTTTTAGCTCTTGCTTTTGGGTCATTATCCTGTTGAAGACTCATGACATATGACAGAGACCAGGCTTTCCGAGACTGGGCAGCACATTTCTCTCCAGAATCCCTTGATAGTCTTGAGATTTAATCACATCTTGCACAGATTTAAGACACCCAAGCCAGATGAAGCATAGCAGCCACAGAACATAACAGAGCCTCCTCTATGTTTCACAGAACGGACTGGGTTATTTTCTTGATATGCTTTATGTTATATGCACCTACCCAAAAAGTTCCTTCTCAAATGATTAAAGATATTTCTGTGACCATTGTGGGTTTTTATTTCCTTAAACGAACATGGACCAACAATTTTGTCCTCATGCCTGGTCATGGACAAGTCTTTCTAAAAAATACATTGGTTGAACCATAGAGTCATTGTGCGTTGATGTGAATGTAAGTATGGATTATCTATGACGCTGAAAAATTTAGCCTCTCTTCTTCAACTTTCCCAAATATACCCCAAAATTTTGGGTGTAGGCTGACTGATATTTTGGAAAATTCATAACTTCATCTACCTGGAACAAATGCCTTTGTTTTATCTATTAGTAAAACATTTATTTTAGTGTGGAAAAACTGCTGGTACATGACAGAAGCATTGGAAACATTTTTTATACAGCTTCACCTTTTGATCTATAGATCTAATTAAAACAAGAATCTAAAACCAGTTCTAAATCAGATCTATTAGGCCAAATTCAAACTATCATCATGAGGCTACTTATGTTAACTTCAAGCCTGATGATGTGAACATGAAAGATAACGTTATAAAAAAAAATTCTTATTAATATTGATAAACATAACTTAATTTGTATATGCACATTAGTGTAGCTTATTTTTAATGGCTATATATTTTTTAAAAGTGTGATTCAAGAACAAGCTTGCATATATGACAGTCTGGGGTCTGTCTCTATACCTTGGCCTGATGATGCACCTTGGTTACAAAGGTTATCCCTTTGGCGCATGACTTACATCCAGACGTTTGGGGATTGAATCCTGCCTTTTAGGACCATCTGTTCTATACCTTGCCACACATTCAAACTGTAGTTTGAATGTTATTCTGATTTCTGCTTCAGCTGTTTTTACTGTTTCTTTAAACAGTCTGAGACACTTTGTTTCACTGTTGTTAACAAGAACTAAAAAAAAAAGGAATGGCAAAGTGTGAGAAAATATCCGATGTTCAGCCTTCAAAAAGTAAAGGCAGAAAAGAAAGAGCAATATCAGATGGCAATGGAGGATCACATCAGGTAATGCTCTGTGCTGTAAGATTATATATGCAACATGCTAACATCACCTCCCTGAGCTGTCCATAAATTTCAGCAAAATCTAAGGCTGGTTATCCTGTTCGAGTGCACCTCATAAAAAGAAAAAGCAGACTGTGGGGTGGGTTATTTATCACATTGGGTCCCAGTTGATATACTATCATGTGAAAATAGGACAGCTTTATTATAACATCATTTACACATTGGGTCATAGTTCTTTATTAAACTCACCATTGTTGTTATTTGCTTATTTGTACTTTGTTTGCACCCTATTTGTTTCTTGATTAGAATCCCTCTTAAAATCTATTGTCTTCGTTCATTGTCCTCCATGATAGGTAACACAGTTATCTTGTGTTAGAGTGGGCCTTTATGTACCGTTGTTGGTGCAAAAAAGAGTAAGTTGTTTTTCTCTCATCTTACCTTTTATCAAAAAATATGTCACAAATATTTTTGCATCATCAGATTCTGCTTGGATGCGCTAATTTTCAGTCAGATCTCCATGTCCCTGTGTAGTGAAGGACTCTTCAGAGTTCTGCTGTTATCATTAAACTCTGCTACAGTTTGTATGAGTCCTTTTGGAGCCAGGTAAACATCATAGCCAGGATGACTTTCCTCACTCATCAGGCACATGATTGTATACCAAGTGTGCTTTACCATATTGTGTTAGCCATCATATATTGTGAATAAAGTGTGTGCTGTTGCAGATTCACCTAATCAGTCTGCTATTTACTAACCCCAATGTCAAATGATTCATCTGGAAGTCTATAGTAAAATACATGTAGCACCGCCTTCGCTTACAATATAGGATGGGTTAAAGAAAATGGTGTAATTCTGACCATCTTAAAGCGCTGCTTTTAACCCACATCACACCACTGCCACCAGCATGTGTCAATGTGGTGTTTGCACAGTACAATTAAGTGTTTTTTGTGATTTGTGATTATGACTCTCAAGTTCATGTTTGGTTCTATCTGATCAAAATGCCGTCAGGGTTTGAAAGGTTTTCAAATCTTAGTTATACAGACTTTTGTCTTACAACTCTTTCTCATACATCTGAAGAAAACACGTTAAAAAATCCTACAGCTCTTTCTGTATATTTTGTCCGTAAAAGTAAAAAAAAAAAATCCACTGGACTTTCCAAGATTTGCAGATGTTTCGCCACCTCTCCAGGAAGCTTTCTCAATCAAATTTCTTATCTGTATAATTTAGAGCTTCAATATTTTAGTTTCTATGACATCTATTGTATTCACTTTTACCAGCTCCTTTTGGGCAAAAGGCTTCTAATAAATGTGGAAAGAATATAGAATTTGGAAAAGTGGTTCAATATGCCTGGAAACACTTTAAGGGGAGATGTTCTGGGTAATATCCAACACTGACTAAGGTTAACAAAGAGACAGATGGCTGAAGAGCATATAAAACACAGAGGGGAACCCTTCTGACATCATCTCACGTCTATTTTAGGACAGGCTGAGAAAAAAAAAGAAAGAAAAAAAATGAAGGTCATCCTTAATCATTGCACGTCTTTTTGTGAGGATATGGACAATAAAATATAAACAAACCTTCTTCTGATGCTGGCTACTGACACTGACTTAGGAGCACGCCTACATCATAATTCTGTAGACGTCCACAAGCCAGCTTGTCATCTGCTTTGAAATTCTGTGCACATCTCATGGCCAGAGGGCATCTCCCTACTGCAATCAGTACAAGGTTCCAATGAGCCAACATGACACACAGGCAGACAAAAAACATTCACCACAGTCCACAAATGCTGAACGTGTAGTACAACATGAAAAACAGGAAAACCCTGTTATATTTTAATAATTATAAGATTTAGTTTAATCTTTGTTCTTATCATGCATTTTATAAAATAGACCATAAATATATTTCACAGTTGGATGACCAATTTATGATTCCTGTCAAGGAACAGAATGTACTTATGTAAAATAAGGTTGTTTTTTTTTTGAGCAATTGCATGTAAAATGTCCAATTAAAATTATAATAGTAGTTTAGATCATGTTTCTATGAAAATATAATTTCTTTAATTATTTTAAATCATCTTTCCTAAGACAAGATCAGTAAGGTGGCTATAATCAGGTGATTTTAACCAAGAAAGGAAAGCAATATGGTGCCATCTGGTGTCTGAAAATGGCACACGTGTTACAACCTTCATTATGCAACTCAGAGAATAGGCGCTCTGTCAGTCACAGTATCATATCATGTGATCCACTCATGCAGTACACCAAGCAAATCATGATTCCACAAGAGCAGCTCAACGTTTATTCAAAACCTTACAATACAGTCATCAGGAAGTCAGACAAGAAAATGTCATATTTTATTTTCCCAAAAAGCATCTCATAAAAAAGCAAGTTAAATACAGTTATGGCTGATATATTTATAACACAACTATTAAGATCATGGTACTTATATTGATCCGGAAAATTCTCTTTCTTATTAACAGATGTTGGTTTGTTTTCCATCATCCTCTTCTACTGACAATAGCCAAAGCAAATAAGAGTGGAGAACATGCCATTTATTTTTAAATCATATCATGGAAGCGAGGGAAAAGTGACAATGTATTCCTAGCATCATTCGTGTTGTTTTTCAATAGATAAATGTTTTATATGAGCACCTTCAATGAGACTGAATGAAGTGTCCAGATGGTAAAGGACCTCACTGGGTTCCTTTTTCCAGATACTCCAAACTGGGTGCATCTAATCTCTGTTCGTGGTTTTTGTTTTTTGTGAATTCCTTCAACATTTCCATAACTTCTCCTTGGTAGACTTCCGGTGTGGGCTGAGCTTCTGTAAAAACAACAAAAAAAGGAAATGGCAAATTGAGTAACACTGTTTTAACATAATTTAGATAATTTTTATTTTAAATAGCAGAAGAACAATAGGGACTAAAAAAAAAGAGCTCTTTTAAAATGACCATGATTATTTTGGAACAGAAATAGGACTGGTTGTGTGAGCTATTTAAGAAAAACAATACAACAGTGAGCAAAATTTTGGTAGCTGGAACGGGTAACATCAAGGAGATTATTGTCGAGCTACTTAGTTATTTTATTTAGTAAGGTCAGTGTTTGAGCCTCCATTCTGGCAGACCTGATTCCCTAAAAAAATAAAATGTTGAGAGGATTCTCACAATATGTTTCGTTGTTTGGCTGTACTGCTCAACCACAGGCTCTTACTAAGGCTATAACAACTATCTATATCGACATATTGATTTTATGACTAAGGATATCGATGTAAATTTGTTTTTACTTCAAAAGCTCAATTTTTGATATAGATGTGAATGAGATGGGCAAATGATATCCCATCACACAGGTCACAGACTTGTTCATTAAATTAATTAAAATCTTACAAGATCAGATCTTATCGGGAAACATCATATGGTTATCTTAACAAATCGATCATGAAAAACATTAGTGATTTCAACCTCTACTAGGGACATTTCCTCATTGAGATTTAAGTACCGCAATTAACCTTTAGGATAGGAAAAAATTATAATGAAGTATCGTTACTTTTATAACAGTACATTTTCCAGCTACTCTACTGACACAAAGTAACTTCACTAATTGAAGAATAAGCTAGTTTTTAAATAAAAAAAACAACACATACATGAAATAATTTATGTTAAAATTAATATTTTAAAATACAAATATTTATACTTAAATTATATAAGTCACATTATAGGTTGATGTTTTCATGTCAATTTCCATCTGCGGATTCTACAAAGACAAATGAAGACCAAGAAAATATTCAGCTAACAACAGATGCTGGCCTTTGGAAAAAGAAAAAAGGAAAAACTACTGAAAAATAAAAGGTACAATAGAAAACTTAACTTATTTGTAAACTTTATTCTACCCACAGAATCCTATTGAATTTTCCATCTCTTTAGTAAAGCTATTCTGGCCAAGACTGATCCATAGTTTCATTTTTTTTTTAAACAAGTAGAAAGCCTGTATATGAAAAGTAAACAGAATGCTGGGCTGCAAATATTCTGCTCATTATCTTTGCTGTTCCTAGAACGGCACTCTTCTGGACCGAGATCTCTGATGTATTTCCAGGGATCTGCTGTAACCACTCTTCAAGTTTGAGGGTCACTGCCCCAAATGACCCAATGACCTTCCAAGTTTTCTCCAGCTCTTCTCTGAGCCCCTGTTATTTCTCTAATTTTTCATGTTCTTTTTTTTCTGATGTTGCAGTCACTTAATATTGCTATGTCAACCAAAATGGCTTTCCTTTGCTTTTTGTCCACCACCACAATGTCCGGTTGGTTTGCCGTTACCGTTCAGTCTGTCTGTATCTGGAGGTCCCACAGGATCTTGGCTCGATCATACTATATCGTCTTTGGAGGTGTTTCCCACTTTGACCTTTGGGTTTCCAGCCCATACTCTGCACAGATGTTCCTGTACACTATTCTACCCACTTCAATATGGCGCTCCATGTAAGCTTTTCCTGCTAGGATCTTACACCCTGCAGTTATGTGCTGGATTGTCTAAGGAGCCCCTCTGCACAGTCTGCACCTGGGGGGCAATTTTCAAACAATGATTTTGAGTAACTGCCTTTTACACTTAAATTGTTATTTTCATAGTAGTAGTGGTTTGTGCAAATGGTATTACTCAGAAAAAATGGTAGCGGTGATGTTCCTTTACACATTTTATATAGAATTATACCTTGCAATAATAATACCTAAATATGGTTTCCAGTTTTGCAGGCTAGTTTTTATCTAACAGTGCTCACAGATGTTGACTTTCTAACCTTAGCTGATGACGTGTTTTAGAGTGATTTTAAGACCAGAACAGGGTGTATTGACAACATTTTAATTTTCATTTAGAGGTGGTAGAGGAAAGCTATGACTTTTTGAGACTTATTTGGAAATGTTTACTCTCGGGAAAAACAAAAACAAATGAGTCACACAAAAAAAAAACAATCATTTTCTCACCCGTGGCCCAGTAGTAGATATCCCAGTCATTGCTTGGTTCATTGATCAGCCTGTCATACTGCTGCAACTGGCTATCAGTCATCGTATTCAGGTATCGCTTTGCAAAAAGGCTGCAAGAGGCACAAGGAACTCAATAAACTCAGCAATTTCTTCACAAAGAAAGTGTCACAGCAAAAATTACAGCAACACCAAATCATAAATTGACAAACACATCTGTTCTGATACTTTTGAATATCTGGTTCAAATGATTCAATTTGGTTGTTAAACAAATACCAAAGGCTTCAATTTGACTACAGTTATTTTGATAGCAGATCATTTCTGAAAACTGGTAAGCACTGATTACAGACAGGCACAAAACAACAAAAATTTTGCTGTTTTTTGGTTTCCCATATCCGATTTTAAAATCTATCACCAAAGAATTGATTTTAGATTGTTTTACACAAGGTTTCCTGTTAGACAGACCAATCTGAATACAGCTAGCTTGAAAAATATCAATGTTTAGATACTGCAGTAGACAAGCAACTTTAAAAGAAGTAAAATTGAGCCAAACAGAGAATACAAGAAAAAGATAACAACCTTAGTAGTATGCAGTTCTCCAACATCCCCCTCTTGCGACTCTCATAGAGGAGCCGCCGCCTCTTGATGTCAATGGGCTCATCTGTCTTCTCAACCCAGGGGGGTAGGGGGATCTCTAGCAGGTCCGCTTTGTTGTCATCAGGAGCATCTCCTTTGTAACCTCGAGATGTGACCATCCCTGTTAAGGCTGGTCTCCAAACTGATTGGCACATCCCTGTTACCACCTGACAGGAAACAAAAGCCATTTAAGTCGTTTTTCTTGTCACCATCGAAATAGGACAAGTTGTCGTTTTAAAGCTTTCCGTTTTATGTTGCAAAACAAGAGGAGATGATATACTTAAACAATTGAAGTCCAAGGAAATTGTAATAGTGACATTGTTATTTAGTAATAACCCTTCGGTCGATTCCCATGTGCTGCAGTGCGAGGTCCAACTAGATCCTACTTTTTTATTTTTTTTATTTCAGCTTCTCTTCATTGGCTTTATGTAAATCCATAACAGAATAAATTCATAAAAAAGTTGAAATTACGTTTTTCTTAGAAATAAACCTCTGATAAATACATCTCCATTTTATATTAAAGACCTAATTTTATTCTTTATATGTTTATATGTAGAGGACTACAATAATTGGTGTGTTTTTTTTTTCCTGTGGAACCCACATCTGCTTTTTGTTTCTTAATTTTTGGTTTTTGATTAAACATCAAGTTAGAATGACTTGGTTACTTTGAGCTAATTCTGTAGATATACATCCCTAAGCTTGAGCTGCTTTGTCTGGAGAAGGAATTTCCATTGGTGTATTACTTTATCAATTTTAAAAGGTTTCCTTTTAAAAATATCTTTTTTTGTTTGTTGTTGTTTTTTTTTTTAAGCAAACCTATCACTAATGGATGGAGTTAACAAGTACATAAATGTAATTGGTAAGACAGAAAAGTATGCAGAGGATGTGGTTGGATAAATGCCAAATGGCATAGAAGAACAGTCTTTGACTTAAACTGAACTCTGTTTTATACACACTCACAATATAGATCACAACAACTCCCAAATGTTCAAAGGCGTTTCAAAAGCAACACCTATATCTTATTATCTGTCACGGTTTGTTTTGAATCAAGGGAGAGCGAACCTTTAAATCCCAAAAAGCAGGTGAGAATTGTGTAACATCACCATCTGTCCTGTTGTACAACAGTCCCCTAACAGAAGAACGTACCATGAAAATTGAAAATAGCGACAAGATTTAAGTTGCGGTATTAGGAAACTGGACTCGTGTTTTAATATAGAAGTTTTGGTGTTTGTTTTTCTTTTACTTAAAATCAGACTCAAATCTATTGGGTAACCTTAGCAAAGCAAAGGGTCTTTGATATCAGAGGTCACATTTCGAGGAACACATAAGTAAATAGTTATAAAAGGATAACTTACTCTTTTTGCAACAAGTGAAGCCAACATTTTAGGATTCTTTCTTGACGACCTAGATAAAACACCGTCCTTCGCCGCTGTGCAAATGTTTCTGCTTAGCGTTCAACAAAAATTACACAAGCAAGCGGGTTCACGTCACTGCGTGCCCGCCTAACGAATGGGCCGACTAGATACACGAACAGAACATGTGTGGTTGTTGATAGGGAACAAACTAAAAAACACGTCTTAGTATTATCAAAAATAAATAGTGGAGTAAATACTCCACAAAATATTTGATCTGTTTCGTTTCTTTATGCCAATTTACAGTTTCAACGTAAGTTAACAGGGGTAGAATTTAAGAAGTAGGAACCATATTATATATTTTGTTTGCAACCGGTAGCTTTCCGGTACGGGCTCCTGTTTTCATCGATTAAAAAAATTAGCATTAGCAGACCAAGCGAGCATGCTATAGCTTAAATTCAAATACGTTTGCGTTGGCAGACGAACGGTTGATCTGTGACTCTTCAAACTGGGTGATAGTTTTCTCTTTTTTGTGTGTATAATATAGCTACGCTTGTGTTGTCACAAACCCTGAACGGAGTGTTAGCTACCGTTAGCTAGCAACGTTAATGCCACAATAAGTTATTTAGTAAACGGGAAGGGGGGGGGCTGTTGGTAAAATTAGCCTTTAGTTACACCTGTGTAACGATGCGGACGGAACCGGTTTGAAGAAATAAATCAAGAAAAAAACGGCTACAGTTTACAAAGGGTCTAAGGTTAGGATAGTAGGTTGTATCGGAGGCCGACTGTCGGGATGGCTGCTGCACAACCTGCAAAAGGACCGAGTACTTCGAAAAGTGAAAACGTCGATCTGTACAGTGACCTGTATCCAAGCGATGAGGTAAGTCTGGCTACAACATTTATCAGTCTATTAGTGCTGTGATGCATGCTCTACACCAGGAAACTTTAAGCGTATTTCCTCGACAAGTATCTGACTCCCCCATACGTTCATAAAAATTTTAATAAGCGTTCATTGGCACAGAAAAACGTTTTTCATATGATCACCTTATATATTTAATTCATAGTTTATTCCCAGTTTTATATTAACCCTGTTAGATGGAACCTGGCCGCAGCTGTTGCGCACGTCTGATCCAGATATTGGTGCCCAAGGTCTTAAAGGTTATGAAAGCTAATGAAAGCATAGTAATTACAAAAGAACGAGGGGACTTATTAAACTCATGCACATATTTTTTTTATATATGTTATCTGACATACTGATATTGGCCAATTTTCACTGGAACTTAATTGAATAGCTTCAGTTTCTTTGAAGTGCTGTTCTTCCATATTTGTAGGTGCTGGCATGGCAGTTTTAGTGGTACAGATTATGTGCAGTATCTGATAGAGAAGACAACACTGCATGGGATTTATTTGTTACATTTCTCTCCGTAGGATTTGGATAAAGTTACTGAAGCGAATGAACTCTTTGATGCAGTCTTAACTGGGACCGTTGACGAAGACAAAAAAGTTTCTAGTAAACCAGTTTCCACCAAAAAGGCTTTTGGAGAAGAAGAAGATATAACTGATAAGACAGCACAAAACGAAGGAAAACGAGCGAGAAACCTGTCTATATATGTTGGGAATTTTCCCTGGGTAAGTAGAATCCTCTCTGCATTCAAGCTGATAGAACTGATAAAAAGAAAGCATCTTTTATTTTGTTTAAAAGGCTAAAAGAGTGCAGCTTATTATTTCTGTATATATATATATATATATATATATATATATATATATATATATATATATATATATATATATATATATACTGACAATTTCTGTATGCAACCTATAGTCACCAGTTGGATGTTTTTTTGCTATTGAGCGTTTAAAAAGAAAAACAACAGATTTTGACCAGTGTTTCAAAGTTTCTCCAAAAACAATAAAACATTAGGTTAGAAATAAGGTTAATGATAGATAAGATCTCAAATAAATTTAGTGAGTGTAATCAAAGTGTATATGGGTGAGCTTCCTTAACAAATATTTAAATAGATCTGTGTTCTTATCTCTGCAGACATATGTAGATAAGAGATTACAAAGTGTTGGTTAAAATATTGAGAAAATATAAAAAATATATATATATATTTGGAATAATTGTGTTAATGTACATAAATGCAGCTAAAGGTTTACTCTGTCTTGTATTGTTTTATTGTCAGTTATCCTTTCTTTATAGAATAGTGTAAAATTTCCTCTACAAATTGTCAGAAATTACTTTATCCGTTCTGTCCTCTCATCATTCTCTCCCTCCAAATCTTCTCCTCCTTGCAGTGGACATCCGACCACGACCTCAAAAGCCTGGCCCAAAAACTGGGAGTTAAAGACATTGCAGACATCAAATTTGCTGAAAACAAAGCTAATGGCCAGTCAAGAGGGTGAATGTTTAAAAAAATATACTTTATAAATTATAGAGAAAACATAAAAAATGTATTTATGGAAGCTTATGTGAACATATATTTTTCTGATGCAGCATTGACCACTTTGCTGTTTCCTGTGTTACAGCTATGCAGAAGTGGTGGTAGCTTCAGAACAGTCATTAAAAATATTGCTAGAAAAAATGCCACAGTTTTGCATTAATGGGGAAAAGATACAATGTCGCTTTGCAACTCAGCAGAATCTTTCGGTGTTTGAAGGCATTGCAAATAAACGTAAGTTACGCAGGAGCTTAAAAAACACCAAATAATGTATACATAATGCCAGTATGACTTGATTTTGACAGAATATTGTTTTTCGCAGGTATACCCCTACGTGCTCGACTGGGTTCTAGAGATTCCGATTTTGTTGAGAAGACTCAAACGACAACGCCTTCACAAGAAATGAGTGCTCTTCCTGTTCCTCCGCCACTTTTCCCATCACACCCATTCGCAAACATGTTTCCCTCACCTCCCACTCCTTTTCTCGGGCAGCCACCTCCACTGTTCCCACACATGGCACCAATGGTTCCTCCCCTAATCCCACCTCCTGTTTTCCCTCCGCATCCTGGGCAAATCCCTGGTCATTCTCCTCCGGAGCTGCACATAAACCCGCCTTTCTTCAACCTGCCGCTAGACGGGCAGAACAGCAAGTCACACACCGAAAAAAAGTGAGTGAGCGCACTTTGCCTGCTAATATCCAATGTCACAGAAAATATTCAAGGCCTAAATTATCATACAACAGTGTAAAGAACACCATAAAGTATAGTATAACGTTAAGTTCAATTTTGTGAATAAAGTTCAGTCTAAAACTCGCAACATTGTTTTGGTTTTCCAGGCAAACATCTTACAGTGAAAATGGAGACTATGAGGAGCAGATGAACAGAAACAGAGCAATTGCCAGCAGTGCAATAACTAAGGCTGTTTCAGGAGCTGCATCTGGTAAGAAACGATTATCCGATTTAGAAAGAAATGCAAAAATAACTTGACACTTTATTTGAAAAAATCTATGAGTACATAGCAAACTGCAAATGTTATTTCAGTTTGAAAATACTTTTTTTTGGTAGTGAAATCATTTTTGGAAGGATGTGAATTTTAAAGTTATAGTTGAGGATGTTCTTTTTCCAGGTAGATCATCAAAATAAGTGGTCCTCCTAATTGTCAATCATTCTCGTGATATGTTTACGTAGGGCCTATGTGCTCGTCCCCATTTTCACTTACTGGTGATGAGTCTGACATAGTGGAAAAGTTGCAAATCTTGTTTTGGAAAGTAAGCTTGTATGAGCGATGCAAACAACTTTTAAACAGAGCGTGCACAAGGGGAAATGGGCTTGTGCGTGCTCTCACTTGCGTTTAATAGGCGTTACCTCTTGAGAAGGGGTAAAAGGGTTGTCCATGTGCATTTTGATATTTAAAGCAGAGAGTTCTGGTCTTCAAAAATTTACGAAAATCTTCCACTATACCTTTAAGGTTAAAGCTATAGAGGACAAACTTTTATTTCCAGGTGGATCATCTAAATTAGTGGTGCTATATTGAGGGGAACATTTTTCCACTTTCAATTCCAAATAGTTTTAAGTTTGTTTATTTATGTAGCTATCGCAACGACTATTATCTGAAGCCACTTTACAAAAAACAGAAATTATTGATTCTGTCCAGTCATGAAGACTGACTCGGATTCAAATATATTCTTATGTTACATCCTAGTAACCAAACAGTATCATTCAAATTAACGCTATTTTATTAATCATAAACCTTCTTCATATCATTGCAGGAGACGTGCATATGGCCATGGAAACGCTAATAACTGCTATTTCCATCATCAAGGAGTCCAGAGTGTATGAAGATGAATACTGTCAAGCTCTTGTCACCTCCCTTAAAGACTGTTTGTTCTCAATCCAAGGGGACTATAGCCCCAAGTCTGTATTTATATTTGTTGTTCTTCCCTATTGAATAACATCTGTTTTGTCCTCCCAATCTTTAGCAACCATTCTATTTCATTTTCCAGGCAAAGCCGACATTCCAGAGAAAAAGACCGCGACAGGGGGCGTGACAGAGACCACGAGCGAGAGAGAGACTACGAGCGTGACAGAGAACGTGACAGAGAGCGTGCCAGGGAGAGGTACAGGGAACGAGATGATGCATATGACAGGAAAAGTGTTGGAGGATCTCGAAGATACAGGGAGCGTACCAGCAGTGAAGAGAGGGACAGGGAGCGCTCGAGAGACCGAGAGCGACACAGAGATCACAGGGACAGATACCACTAAGTCGGTAAGTTTCTCACAATTTAACAACCTACTGGATACATTGGTTGGATTTTTTTCTTGTGTACTGTAGGTTGGACTGTACTTAATGGAGCAATAAATAATATGATGGATAATATTTCAAATTGAAACAACATATAGCACACATACCTCAGCTTTAGTTCTGCTCTTTGCCGAGGGCCGGTACTAAAAGGGAAAGCTGCTGTTAAAGTCGAAAATCATATTTAAATGTGAAATCATTCTGGTTAAAACATGAATATAAATGTACTCTTTATCAGACGATATTGTCCCAAAATTTAGAAAATTTCTATTAAAAAAAAAAAATCCTGTCTTCAAATCTGTGTTTTTTTCTGTTATTTATGTCAGCTTGTACACTTAAATTCGGCCAATAACATATATCAACAGTCATCTGTCAATCAAATTTTTTCGGTCATAGGATCTGATTCATATTTCGCAGGTAATATACCCAACGGTTGAAATAGAGTTCACGGGGATGGACGTCTGTGTGTTCGGCAGGCGTAGAGCTAAAAGAACTGGCAGCATTGCGAGGCAAGGCCTCAAACATGTACGGCTGTAAGCCTTCTACACCAAACGAAGCTTCTGCCTCCCTGGCGTCCTCTTCCAGATCATCTTCGTCCCCATTTTTCCTCCCTTTAAATAAAAAATGTATGACAGAGGAGACTTATCCACGACCTCCGACACAAAACTCTCCTCCTCTTACATATTTCTGCTGTCCATGGCGTTCCTTGACAGTGTCGTGACAATCACACTTAGTGTATAGGGATTGCTGAAGAGTCAATGAGTCGATGCAATCAACTACCGGTAGTTTTCCTTAGAAAACTTTGAATCAATTTGACTGTATGATCTGGTGAACTGTAAAGTGCCTTGAGATGACATGTGTTGTTAATTGGAGCTATATAAATAAACAGAAGTGAATTGAATTAATAAACTAGATGGACTGTATACAATAAAGTTATATGGCTAATACACTGAGTGTATTTGTAATTCTCAACAAATGTTTTTGCCAGGTTACCCTCTGTGAAATTCAAGTCAGCGAGGTAATTTTAAAGCTTCATATACAAAAATAACTTTGAGCTTGTAAAGGCTATAATGCTATACCTTCAGCAGAATCATACAAAACTTTTTATTTTGCTCAATGCATCTTTGAGTAATCATACATTTTTCTCTCGGGGGCAGCAGCCCTTCCCGAACCTGAAAAACTGATTAGCAAAGACAGGTCTAAGTAGAGCTGTTATTATACACCGCCTCAAGGAAGCACCTATATTGAATGCGGCATGTAAACAGCAAATCCATGTCCTCTGATTGTGACCAAGGAGTTTTGAGGCAGGGCAAGATCATTTTTACTCGGCTTATAGGAAGTGGCCTTTTTCGGACAGCACAGTGACAGCAACCTTTTCTCTTTTTTAATGTTGTCTTAAATGGCAGCAATGGATATTCTCTGGCTCCATCTGAATTCATCAGTTTATTGATCCTGCGTCTCCTTTTACCTTTCATGACATTAACAGTAAGAACACTATTGTGCGAAAGAACGGAACTCTGGACTGCTGTGCCATATCCAGAAAGGCTTCAACTTAATGTCATAATGCGACAGAAATACAGATGAATTATGATTGTCAAAACTGATTTTAAAAACAAGCTAGGCAAATGTAAATAGCTGAAGAACACTTTAAAAAAAAAAAAAAAAAACATATGGTGTGCACATTTGCATGTCGCATATAGTACTCAAGAAAATAATGTATTTTTGTTCAACTCTGTGGGGTGGGCTATGCTTACACATTTTTTTTATTCAAAGGACTGTGGGTAGAAATATAGCTTCAATGCACCATGTAGGAACATTTGAAGGTCCCTATGCTAAATGAGGGGGGCATTCTGCTTCCTTTTCCTAGCTCCTTCTTTACTGCAAGCATTATTAAGACAGCAATTATCATGTTGACAGCTTGTGTACTCTCGGATTGCACTATTCCGATAAACCCATACACTATGTTCAGGCCTCCCTAAGACGAGTATACAGCCCCCACACAGGGAGAGGGATTATCACAAAGAAGAAAAATGTATTTATTTCAAGTTGGGTTGGGGGGGGGGAGAGAACAACAAATAATTAGTAGGTTGATCTTTTGTTTGTGAGGATACATTTTTTTTTAATCTGGAAATTTGTTATAGCTGTTCATCACCTGTAAGATATATCTACTCATAACTGATTAACTATCTCTCTGTGAGACCACTAGTCGCAAACATTTAGTGTTATATTTTCATTGTTTGAGAAACCAGACTGCTTTACTAGCAAGTTTCACAGCTTGAATTTGTTGCCTTTTAAATAGTCACCTCCCAGAGGGGAGGACTGACATAAAAGCTAATTTTTGAAAGTAATGCATTTTTCTTTTATTAAAACATAAGGGAGAAAAAAGGATCAATCAGGTTTGACCAGTTTGAATCTAATCTCTAATCAGAAATTTTATTTTTTATTTTTTTTTTAGCTATTACCAGTCCAACATATAATCCATAAATGCATACTCTGTATTGCCAAAGACAATATTTCAAACATAAGTATGATATATAGTACCTTTCATGTAGACAAACTGAAAATCCTTATCAAGATGGTGTATGTAGAGGTTTGCATAAATTAAGGAAATGCTGGCATACAGCCTGAAACTATTTTTAAGCTTAACTTTTTTCCACTCCATATTAGAAATGTAACACTGACTTTTCAATGTTTTCTCCATCCCATCTCTTTTCTAGGGTGATGTTGACCGAACCAGAAAGGCATTTCGAATTTTGCACCAAGCTGTATAATAATCATAAGGAATCTTAACTTCAAAGTGTGAAATGTTTTTTTGTTTTTTTTTTCGTGCCTCTAATACATTCGTTGTAAAAGTTAAAAATGGCCTGTACATTGTTTTGTACAATAGGGACATTTGCATGAATGGACATGTGTTAATAACTTGTAAAAGTTTTCCTTCCTGTTTTGTATAAACTACAAACTGAAAAACAAAATCCTTCAAAGACTTTTTGTCACAATCTTTAATTAAAGTACCTAAATTACTTGTGTGCATTTTTTTTCTGTATATCAGACACTAACCATAAAGCACCATTGGGTTTAATCATCCTCTATTTTAAACAGTTGTGATTTATAACTTTGTAGATGATGTACATCTTTTAATTGATGGCTTAATGATGAGTAAATATCAGACTGGAGTTCAAAGGCTAGTTAAGATAGGCACAAAAAAAATATATGCTTAAAGAATTTTATTTAGAAAATATTCCAAGTCCTATTCAGGGTTTTTGCTCCTAATCTTGACGGCCCAAAGTCCATAAAGCCATTTTAGGTTATTTCTCAAGAGGAGCATAATTTAGCAACTTCTCAATGAGATCCACGTGAGACAGGAGCATCCTTCGACAACAATACCGCTTCAGGCCCAGGGCATCAAGGGCATCACTACAAAGGAAAGAGGGAAATTACATCAGTGACACCTAATAAATATGGAGAGTAAATCAAACATCTCATATCACATTGTATTTATTCCAACAAATTGTGCCGAACAAAAATAATATAATTAAAAGATGTATTGCAGATAGAAATACATCGAAATCTTACCCTTCTGTGTATTCTGCTTGAAGTAAGCCGAGGTAAGCTTCCCATTTGTTGCCCACAATCTTCCCACAAGTGAAGCACCTCACCGGGATAATCATTGTTGATTGCCTGCAGAGGATCAACATCACGCTATTCATACGAGTACGTAACGGTGGACAACATCAATACATTTAGCTGAAAGAGCATTCCCAAAATAGGTGGGTTAATGTTTCTTGTTCACCATGATAAAAGGAACAGTGAGGATAAATATTTGGAAAATATTTATTCATGTAAGAATTAACAGGGTAACATCTGTGTAGAATTTTAAAGGACACCTTCTGTACTTTGAGAGAAAAAAACCTTCTTGGCAACAACCATGTATGTTCCCAATCAATATCTGAATAAAGATTATTCCAAAAGAAGATTGATGCAGGTTTGCTAATAGTATTCCTCTGGATGATTTCTCTGTGTTTATTTCCAGTTTTAATGCTAAGGAACGGATCTGATTTACCATAAATAACTCTGGAAATCGGGGATATTGGACATGGACGCTACCTGAGGTTGAAATAAGACATTTCAAACCTGCCGGAAACGCAAATTCTTTAGGCGTCACAGAGAAGTTATATTTATAAAGAAATTCACCATAATTAAACAGTTGACTATTCTGATTAAATAATTGTTTTACAAATATATTATCCACCCAGTTCATAAGAAATAGGGATTTATGCTTGAAACATATATTTTGGTTACTCCAAATACAGCAGTTATGAGGGGAAAGGGTACGTTTATAAGCTAATGTCCAGGATAAAGGTTGTTTATGGAAGCCAGATAATTTAACAGGGACCTTTTCTAACTTGTAGTTACATCCTAATAAAAAGACTAGGCCTTCCAAGGATTTAAAGACTTGTTTAGGAATCCAATGCCACATTGAGTTTTTAAATATCATTAAATCCACCTAACTGAAGGTAGAATGCAAGGTATTAAATTACAGAACGTTGAAACCACATTAACTTAACTCTATAGATCATAACATTTTTCTTAGTTTGATAAGGCCTTTTTCCCCGAGACGAATGAATCCCTGCGACTCAAAAAAAAAAAAAGTGAAGCGACATCACAGCTTGTTGCTAACTTATCTTGCTAACAGCAGCTACACCTGCAGTAACAATACGTTAAATTTACATAGCTAGGGTTTTAAATTCCTCCTGGAATCCCCCCCACCAGCCCTCCAAAAATAATAATAATAATAATGTTTTGAAGGTTTCATGAAATAATTTAGACTGGTAAAAGGAGCTTCATCCATTGAGCTAAGGTTAGCATCACCACGAGCACATCTTTTGTAACATTGCCGTATGGTATCAATTACTTGAAAAACAAGTCTTTCCACGGCCAATTTACACGGACAAACTTGCAACTCACCGTCACCAAAAGTGACCCGTATTATAACCAGGAATCGCTAATGGAATATGTCACCCGGAGAAAGCTAGCTCTCCTCTCGTTACCACCTGGATGGATGGACGGTCGACGAACAACTTCCGGTTCAGATTCTTCCAAAATAAAAGAGGGAATATTCATCAGTAACGAAAACCGGAGAGATTTCCACAGTAATGAGAAATGTAAATCTGTTTTCAATGTAATTTTTAATTATTATTTTTTTTGTGCGAACTATAAATGTATTTACCCAAACTAGCTAATTACATTCCTATGTGTATATTTTACATTTTCATTTTATCCTTTTTTTTTTTATAGTGATCATTTCAGCTTCATAACACGTGATTACTAGCTGTAATCACGTGTAATGCAGCTATCAAAGTGCTCCACTTTTAAATTCTTTCAAAGTTTGATCCCACCCTATATGAGACAAGCGTAAGCATTTCAGAAATTCAGGGTTGTCAACTCTCACCCATTGGGAGTGAGACTCACCCATCTCAGTGTCTTCACACGCTCTCACTCTATATTCCCAATGTCTCACACTAGAAAATGACAGACATTAAAACTCAACTCTGTTCCACTTATTTAAGTATAAAAATACCATGGTGATCAAAATCCATTCTGCGTTTTTAATACAACCTTAGAGTTAACACACAAGGACATGCCAGGTTCATATCTAGTCTACGTTCCCACCTGTTCACTGTACCAGATATTGAACAAAAACAGTTCTTACAAGGTATGTCATTTTAATTTTTATCTTATCTCAAGGGCACTAGGATAATTATCTTTGTAAATTATTGAAGATTTTAAGCAATCTATCACTTGAGTTCAGGTTTGCTTCTCAAACCCATAGAAGCTCCACAAAAAGAAAAAAGAATCATTGCATTTTATTTTTCAAAAGATCCGCCACCCAAGAAAAGACCAACCACATACAGAGAGGATGTGCAGAACAACTCAGTTATCAAGGATTCATAAAGGGAGAAACACAGGGATGTTCTCGTTTTGTTATTACTTATCCTATTAATTTATCCTTATTTTGGTCCATTGAATATGTTAACTTAATTTCAATTACATTCTCCAAATGAAACACCCAGAGAAGTGCTGTCTGCTGTCATGGTCAGTTTTTATCAAATCTACAGCTTCTTAGAAGGTCTGAATTGTTTTGTCAATTGTAAGAAAAAAATAATAACATAATGAATGAAGCTTTTTAATCCTTAGCCTATTACCAAATATTCATAAACAGTGTAGTTTGCATGGGTTTCCATTGCACTGGTTCCTGTATTAGTGCCAGTTTCCCATTGTTTATTTTACTTAAACTGAAGAGAATAATTAATAAACAAAGTTGTAAAATTCTTAGTTTACAGTATATTTAAGATGGAAGAATTACAGCAGGGCTCATTCTTCAATTCTCTAAAAATCACCAGAATATAGAAAATAATGTATATTGTGAGAAACATTTTCCATAACTACATATCACTTATTGTTACTCAGTAACATTTACTGTGCTATAAAAATTCCACATTCTGACACTTTGTTTCGGTTAAATCCTCTGAAAACCTCCAACCTATAGCTGCACCTGTCCTCATAGCCTGTTGATCGTATCCTGACAGGGTTTCCTGTCAAAACTATTTCGAAATCTCACCCCAAGGTTTGGTGAAAAGTTGGCAGCCCTGAAATTAGCCTTTGATTTTGGAGGCTACCTCAAAATTACCATTGGCATTAATTCAAGCCAATGCTTTCAATATTTTTATGCCCCCACTTACTAACTTAACAACACAAGATGTTAATCCGCATCCAGTTGCATCCATGGCTGAGAAGAGATCAAACAAAGCGGTGCCCAGCAAAAGGTGTTTTTTGTAGCCCAGTGTAACTTTTGATTTTTACCACATTTTAAATACTTCATCTATTTTCTTAACTCAATCCAACCCAACATGAACTAGAAGTCCTTACAGAAGATGAAGAAAAAAGCAATGACCACTTTGTCTGGTTCACTGTCTTTAATAATGTTGGTTTTAGAAGTCTTTTCTTTTACACTTCGATGGTTAAAAGCAGAGGGGAGTGTGCATAAGGAAGATATGTCTAAAAATATAAAAAATATATAGATCATATCCATCATTATCATCATCACAGTCACCTTGATAAATATCATCACTATTATAGCCATCAGTAACATCATACATTATTACATCATCTATGTAATTTTATATGCTACAGCACATATGCTAAATGAGGACTCCTACCTGAATTATTGCATTTATACGCTTTTGAAATTATGAAAATAGGAATATTCTTTTCTAGTTTTTTTTTAAATACACTGTATTATACAATGTAAAGTGTCATTTGTTTTTTTTTTTATTTTGTTTTTTTTTTCGGCACACTATTTTTTTGATCGTAGTAGGGAAGTTGTGGCGAGTGTTGAATGTGTATAGATAACTTTTTGGTCTAAACAGTGTAATATTTGTTTTAACTAAACACTAAAAGTGTGTGTGTAAGAACTAACCTTCTACCTACAGGTCAGAGTCAACTAGATGAGTTATACGATGCAAGCAGAAATTTCTGTGAACAGCTGTACATATGAGTTTAAGCAGTAAGAAATGTACGTTTTTTTCCTCCCCCCTTTTAAATGAATGACAGCAAATATACACATTGCTTTCATGCTCCTGTAAATATATAATGTTTTTATATCATTAATGTTGTTTCTGCATCCGAGAACGTGAGAAGAGCAGAGGAAAAATAAAAACAACTCTGATATTTTGACAGTAGCCTTTTGGCCCATTGTAACCCTTATGTAATATAGTGTCAGAAGTTCGATGTAAACAGAGGTAAATATCAGAACTGTTTGTGTTGAGACATGTGAAAGGTTATAGATTTTTTAGATTATTTGACAAGATCCAAAACCCTTTGTATTTCCTTTTTTCAGCCGTGTCATGCTGGTATGTTCTAATGTTTGCTAGCTTGGAATAAAAAAAAATCCCAGCCCACTAAGATCATGAATTCCAAAAGTGAATTAGCCAAAATATATGGGTTTGATTTTAATTAAAACTGAATAAGGCCTTTATCTCGTATTATTTTGCCTCCCACATACTGCTGTTAAATGCATTTTGCTTGTTTTAAGTCTTTATGCAGTAGTCTTCTGTTTCCAAACCCATAATCGCTCATCAAAGGTCACTCTTCGTTAGATCACAGACCCATGCCTATTCTTGTTTATTCTGAAACACTAAGGCGTTTCCTTGGCCAAAATATGCAGCTCACTCACATTAAAAAGCTTTATCCTCCTTCCGCTAACTCATTTACTCCAATAAGGAAATAAAAACTTAAAACTCAGGGTCCTGGGACATAATTGATACAGAGAATACATTTTTTCAGGACTTTTAAGCAAAATAAACTAAGAATTCATAAACAATGAAACTCTATGCCCATTTTTTGTACAAGCTGCAAAAAGTATTAGATTAAATTACATTTAGATGATTCTGGAGGTTATGCTATGCTGTGCATTTTTTATGTACTAAATACATTTGATATGCAGTATTGTAGCAACTTCATGCGTTCATCTATTATAATTATGTTCCATATAAAGCCTTGATCAAACATTACATAGGTTGATGCATTACACATTAAAGCAGGCCAAAAGAAAAATCTGAACAGGACAACAAAAGATAAAAAAAGCACAGACTGCTGTGTCTCCCCATTGCTGATCAAACCAAAAAAAGTCTGTGAACCAGTCAACAATATTCTTATTTTAGATTGGTTTTAATTTCTCCTTGCCAGCAGCAGTGCTCCCAGCAAAATAGCTCCGGCAGCGATAACGGCACCACCAATAAGAAAGGGTTTCAGGTGTTCCAGAGAGTCTCTACCAGAGGCCTTGTCACCTGCTGCTGCTGCTGCTGACTCAGCATCTGCTGCCCCATCCTGGGATGGAGGTGGATTCTCGGGCTCAGGGGCCGCAGGGGCCGGGTCCGCCTTGCGCGGTGGTGCTGGCTCCTTCTTCTCTGCTTTGGATGTGGCCTTGGGCGCTGAAGCCCCAGCCTTGGCTTTGGCCTCCATGTATTCAGGAACCCAGGTGTGGTCTGGTCAGGAATAGTCTTTAGAAGGTGTTGCTATACCGATGAGAAACAGCAAACAGACAAATTACCCTTCTAGATTGCCCCCTGTTACCATGCTATGTGCTCTGCTGTGAACTGAGAATGAAAGGCCCTGAAAGCAAAGTATAACGTGGTGAAGCCTGAAATATGACCTTGGGGGGAAAAAATGGCATTGATGGAAGTACCCTATTTCCCATAAGAACAGGAAAATGTTTATTAAGGTCACAGCTGCGGTGACATAACCTCCCACTGTAGAAATAATCACAATCACAGCAGCTTCCTGTGTTAAGCTTTTTTTTTTCTTTTTTCTTTAGTTAAAAGGGTCAACCATGTAATTCAGTAATGGATGCAGGAGTAATACTGCTAAAATTCTTTTCACTTTATTGAACCTTTTTGTTGTTGATTCTGAAAAAGGAACAGGTAGATGCAAACGTAAAACGTTTCATATATTTGTCTGCCTTGTCCACGGTCTGACTGCAAAACCTCATGAGTCATATGTGCTATAAATGGATGCCAAGATGGAGGAAAGATTGCAGCAGTTTAAGAAATAAATAAAAAATGAAACGAGGTATATAAAAAGATATAAATATGGTTAAGAGAGAATGCATCACAGCAGTTTGAATGACAGAAAATGCAAGCTGCAGCATCCTAACAAAAATGTTTGAATCCAGCTGTGTTTCGTTTTAGGATAAAAAAGATTGCTGCTTACCTTACAAACAGTTGGGTAGAAATTATCTGAATAATTGGATGGAGGAGAAGGAACAGCTTTGGAAGTGAAGATGTCCTTAGTATAGGAAAATGAGCGACAGCAGAGAGATGGAGGACACTGAGAGCAGGAGGGAGGGGAACAAGAAGAGAGCAGGATAGACTGGGATGTACCATCTGCTTGCTTGAAAAAAAGGGGGGGAGTACATGGATTTTCTCACAAAAACTTTCTGGCAATATGGAGCATTATTTCAAGTCAGTATATCTACAGCAATCCTATATTCACCACATTTAACATGAGTAAAGTCCAGATTCAAGTTTAAAATTAAATAAAGTTATATATCTGTCAAAATTGTAAATAATCAAAGCAGCAACAGTATATTTTCTATACTGGGTAAATGTATACTTATCATTAATGATAACTAACAATATTATGTATATATATATATATATATGTATATATACACACACACACACACATACACACACATATATATATATATATATGTATGTAAATTGTACAATTGTATGTAATTGTAAGATTGTGTTGTAATTTGTTGGCTATTATTTTCTTATGGGTGAACTGATAAGTAATCTCTCTATTCTGTTCAGACATTTTGGTGTAATTGTTTATTTTTTGTTTGTTTGTTATTTATTCACCCAAGCCCGATGCAACCCATCAGGTGCAAGAAAATGTTTTGCCTAGACCTGGGGTTTATAGCAATTTTCACATAACAACAACTAATATACATTTCCCAAAAGGTAATAAAAAAAAAACATTTCTGAGATAAATGTAGGGTTATTTTTCATTTATTTTAACGTAATTGTTCGTTTTATATCCTCCAAGTATGCCTGCATCGCTATGTCGTCCCTATGGCAACGAGAAAAAACGCCAGAAAACACTGCGATAGGTCGTGCGCATGCGCATAACTTTGAGGGGTTGTTCCACTATGCTGTTGTTTCTGCTAAAAATTATTAACATTTTTTGAATAGTTGTCCCTAGGAAAGATATTTTTCTCTGACAGAGACAAAAAAGCAAACAAATAATTGACGCCGTGTCGGAACACCGGCGGCTCTTCTTGGATGACGTCAGAGAGGGGAGCGGCAACCTGTGAGCTCACAGTGAACCAGCTGGCGGCTCCATGGATCCACAAACCACTGGTGGCGCCATTTCTCCGCAAGATTCCCAAAGTGGCCACAGCATACTGTGTACAAAGCCATTAGAAGAACGTAAAAGGAGCCATTCACGGCGTTTGCGCAGGAAGCGGAATAGCGAGTTATGGCGCATATTTCGATGGGAAACGTCTCCTGGGATGGGCTTAATTATCGGAATAAGGGTGCCCGCGTTTAGTCCGCGGTAGGATTCGGGAGTTGTCCGGTTGATGGCACACTAAACCAGTAAACTACACCGTAAAACCCCGGAGAAGAACTCATCCTGGTCATAAAATCGCAAAGGGATTTTCTATCTCCCATCAGGAGGAATCATCACGCAGCGTCCTGACGAAAGGGAATGGAAAACGATGTAAGGAGCCGCAGTGGAAGACGTGTTGCAGATCAGGTGGAGAACAGAGCTGTCAGCTTCTAGCGCTTTGGACACCACCGACTCATTAATCTGGCTGCTCGATGGTATGTGTCGGCTTTACCTGACAGCCGGCAGATAGCAGAGGACTCTCCGGAGCTTTAATGCGTTAGGAGTCCATTCATGTCTCGGTTGTTGCAATGACGTCTGAATGGTTTTCTTACATCGAGCGCTGAGACATTTCGACATTAATCCGCCCGATCGGTGATCCCGTGTCGGGAAGAGAGAGACTGACGGAGGGATATGGGAAAGAGAGCGGAACCGATGCAGTGGGTCTCTGCTAGGCATCGTCAAAACACAGGTGAGCAGCAGCAAAGATGACGGTGATTGGTGATCCGCTCCATGGCTGTTTGAGGCACATTTCTGTGCACATCTGGATGCTTTGCTGATTGGATCAGAATAAACACCGTTTCCCACTAATCAACTTGTTGGATTTGCATTGTGAGGGCTCGCCAGTGTTCCCCAGAGCTGCAGCTTGTTGTTAGATTTTGCAAGTTGTAGTAGACGCTGAAACATCGGCAAAACAACTTTTGCTTTTACCCTTTTAACAGTTATCTTTTAGTATTCATTCTTTAAGTCTGTCCAGAAATGCTCCCCCTTTATCTGATCCTACTGAAAAAACTGAAAAAATATTTTAGAATATTTTATTTCAGTTTAATATAGGAAAAAGGTCAGAATTCTGGGAAAAAGGTCAGAAATCTGAGATTAAAGTCAGAAATCTGAGGTTAAAGTCAGAAATCTGAGAAAAAAAGTCAAAAATCTGAGAAAAAAAGTCAGAAGTCTGAGATTAAAGTCAGAAGTCTGAGATTAAAGTCAGAAATCTGAGAAAAAAAAGTCAAAAATCTGAGATTAAAGTCAGAANCTAAATTAGTTGATGATTATTCCAATGATCGATTAATCTGCTTAATTGTTTCAGCCCTAAATACCTTTTATTTATCAAATTAATTCAAAGTATGACTTAATTTCTGCATCTGCTTGGGGCTTTCTTTAAATACCCTGAAAGCCCTGATGCCTTGTTGCTTTTCCTTAATTTAATCTGTTGTAACTGGAGCCCAAGCCTGAGTTTTTGTCTTCTCATCTAACTTAAGACTGATCCTGCTCAAAAGATGCGTTAACTGAGAGTAGATGTCTATAAGGTGTGTATCAGTAAAGCGGGTATAATATTTTTTTTTTAGACGAGGTCAGAAAGGACAGGTTTTGGGTAACTAAATAGAACTATTACATCGCAGCTGATTGCATTAGCTGTAATTGGCTGTGCTGCAATCAGTGCTTTAAACAGCGGTTATTTAAAATTTCAATAAATTAAATTGTAAATTACAATATTTGTACTAAGATTAGTTTTCCCGTCAGTCATTGCTTTATAGGTTTTCTAGCAGGATTTTTTCTATATCTTAAATGGCTTTGATGGGAATATCCTATGCCTTAGGTTGTTTATGATGAGGGGATTGTGCTAATATGAAGTCAAAATTCTGCCAAAAGTGAACACTGATTATAAATAATGATACGAGCTGTTTTATTTTACTTAAACATTCATTTAACAAAATGCAATTGATTACATTATTATTTAAAACAGGTTAATATCTCTATATACTGTAATTAAGCAATTAAAATTAGTTGCTGAAAAATCTCAATCTTATTAAAATTACTTCTTTTTTTTTTTTTTTTAACTGTTAAAATTCTTTGAATAAAAAAAAGAAAAACTGGAGCTATCCTTTTTTGATCCCAAAGTAACCCAAATATTTGCCCCTGCTAGAGATTCTGGATTTGTCCATCTTTTAATTAATTATGTTTACTCGGGTCTGCATGAATCTGCATCAACCTCAATATACAATCAGCATAAAGAGTCCTGGTAATATTTTGGTTGTGAAAACATGCTCTTGGTGTAATTTTGCACCCTCATTGGCATACAAATCAAGCACACTATTTACATGTTATCAATGAAAGGTTGGGTGCAAAAATGTTGGTCATTGTTACTCATTACTCTTAGTCTGGGATGTGACCTTACCCAGGTAGAACTGATGTCAGCAGCTCTATCCAGACCATGGGTGTTATAGCTTAGGCACATTGTGCACTTAATATTTTTTATTAGTGGAAATGAAAATAAATCATTAAATTATTTTTTTTCATCAAGAAAGTTATTATACAGTACTAAATACATTAATAGTGCATAAAAAATCTGCATCATCATCTGTGCAGTGCAGAATCATGATTTGTCTTTAGTTTTGTGTCAGTCAGTCACATGACTTAAAAGATTTTGGGGGGGACAACAAATTTGAAGAGGGCGGACAAATAAAAAAAAGCGTTAAAATTGGACAGTTATAGTTTGTTTACAATTGACCCCTCTAGTCTCACAGACTGGTGTGTTTATCAGGTAATATTTGATCTAGGTTACTGTTGATGCCCCCATCGGAGTCTTCTGAAGTTTCTCACAATGCAAGTTGGGCTAAATTGTGTTAAATGCACTGGAGGAATCAGAGAGCTTGATCCTCTCAGTGCTGTCTACCCTGTCTAAATAACAGTGGGTTTGTTTAAGCAAGTCTATGATGGTATCTTCAACTCCACTGCAATAAGCAAACTACAGTGAGTCCTGATTACTGCTTGTTTGCCAAGGTGAATAGATAGATATCTCTCTAGGACCTTCACAATGTTAGGGCAACAGGTGCAGAGTCATTGAGTACTGCTGAATGAGATTTCTTTGGTATTGGGAAAAAGGCAGAAGGTCTTCCACATCACTGGAACTGTCTCCTGGGTCAGGCTATGGTTGAAGATGTAGTACCGAATCCAACAGAGCTGCTCTACATAGACCTTCAACAGTTTTTGGTCAACAGAAGGTGAGATGTTGCTTAAACTGTGGTCAGGAGAGAAGGATGCCAAGCTTGATCCTAAACTAAACCAATTGGAGAATGTATGCAGTTCGTTGCCTCTGTCCAGATTCCCATCTGCCTGACCCTCCCTCTGCTTGGAGCCTGTGATCTTCATCCCTGACCACATATATCTGATGTTGTTTTGCTGGACCTCCAGTCTCTTCCTGCAACCCTCCCTGCTTTAGTGTTGTTTTCATCTTGATCTAGTCTCTTATGCAGCGGAACCTCCCTAGACAAATAGAGATGTTGACTTTATGCAATGATCTGGATTTCCAGTTGCTAACCTGAAAATGGCTAGCAAATCAGGATTAACAAAATTGCATGTAAAATCTAGACTTTTTAAAATGTTTTATCATCTGTCTCAATAGATAGACAGAAACATGCATGATATAGCTGTCTGCAAAAGGGGGACAGGTACTACCTGTAACAGTTTTTCATCAGACTGGTTCAAGAAAAATTGCTCACTGAACATTATATCCCAATATTTCAGGGCATGTAGTGCAGAAACGATAAAAATCTCACTGAAAACTGTTAAATGGTCACTGGTGTTTGGGCTGTGTACCTTTCACTGCATACATTCAGAGCCTTGTTACACAAGCACTTCTCTAAAAGTCCAACTTATCTCTAACCGAAAAGCACACTTCACAACAACACCTTAACCCAGCAGCTAACTGTGCTGCTAAACACATCAGATAACACATCTGGTCATATTTTGCACTGTTATAGTAACAATTTTCTTGTAACTTTCAGTTTGCGGACTAAATATTTGATTTATTATTGATTTCACTTTTTAAATCCAATTCTTATTAAAATATGGTTTGCTGATGTCTGTCAGACTTTACATTGTTGTGTGGTTTACACTGAAAGCAAAGTCAAAGTCAAAATCAAGTCAAAATTAGTCAAAGTCATCTTACACTGTTGCATCATAAGAAAGCTATGGCTGCAACTAACGATTAATCTGTTGGTTATTTTTTCATTTAATAATTGGATAGCAAAAGGTTCCTTATATAAGATTGCTCGCAGAATTTAACCAGGTGAAACTGAAAAGTTTCCACTCGAGGAGTTTTGGATAAAACATATTGGCAGAAGAAAATGTTTATATATATCGTTTACAATACAATTTTGATGTATTTACTGCTCTAACTGGGTCCCTCTGTCAACTAAAGGCATGTTTTTAAGTCTGTATACTTCATTTAACGATTAATCGATTACTAAATTAGTTGATGATTATTCCAATGATCGATTAATCTGCTTAATTGTTTCAGCCCTAAATACCTTTTATTTATCAAATTAATTCAAAGTATGACTTAATTTCTGCATCTGCTTGGGGCTTTCTTTAAATACCCTGAAAGCCCTGATGCCTTGTTGCTTTTCCTTAATTTAATCTGTTGTAACTGGAGCCCAAGCCTGAGTTTTTGTCTTCTCATCTAACTTAAGACTGATCCTGCTCAAAAGATGCGTTAACTGAGAGTAGATGTCTATAAGGTGTGTATCAGTAAAGCGGGTATAATATTTTTTTTTTAGACGAGGTCAGAAAGGACAGGTTTTGGGTAACTAAATAGAACTATTACATCGCAGCTGATTGCATTAGCTGTAATTGGCTGTGCTGCAATCAGTGCTTTAAACAGCGGTTATTTAAAATTTCAATAAATTAAATTGTAAATTACAATATTTGTACTAAGATTAGTTTTCCCGTCAGTCATTGCTTTATAGGTTTTCTAGCAGGATTTTTTCTATATCTTAAATGGCTTTGATGGGAATATCCTATGCCTTAGGTTGTTTATGATGAGGGGATTGTGCTAATATGAAGTCAAAATTCTGCCAAAAGTGAACACTGATTATAAATAATGATACGAGCTGTTTTATTTTACTTAAACATTCATTTAACAAAATGCAATTGATTACATTATTATTTAAAACAGGTTAATATCTCTATATACTGTAATTAAGCAATTAAAATTAGTTGCTGAAAAATCTCAATCTTATTAAAATTACTTCTTTTTTTTTTTTTTTTTTTTTATAAAGTTGAATATGTTTTCAAGTCATTTGCTGCTGGTAACCATGATGCCCTGGGCTGCTTAAGGTAAACATTAAACATAAAAGTAAACAGCTGTAAACAGCTTAAGGAGAGCACAGGAGGTTGTCCTCACATGTAGGACACACTCAGAACGTGATTGGAAGTTGTCTTTGTCTCCCTCCTAGCAGCTTTCCTGACTGGTTTTCAGATCTGTGTTTTCATTAGTTTTGGAAAAGGTCAGAATTGTTTTGTTTCTTTCCTGTTTCCATATTTTTTTTCTACTTTGCTCTCTGTACTCATCCATCATGCATTTATAAATAATACTGTGGACCTAAGAAGGTTTTCTAACACATTGTGCATTCATTTTTTGGGGGGGACATCTTTGCCAACTTTGATTTGAGTTCGAAAACTCCATTGACT